TAACAGATAGATCAATGTTGATTACTATAATGAAAGATTATGACTTTTTCTACATCTTGTATAAATGTGATTGACCTGTCTTAATGCTTAAACCATAATCGTGCATTTAACAAACTGAAGAAACTACAGTTGATAACATGACATAGTTTCCACAATTTTTATATTGTATATAATTCTAAGATAATTTTTGTTGAAATCTAAGAAATTTTACCAACTTCAATGATTAAATGAGAAGATCCGCAAAATGTATCTTGTTTACGAAACAGTATTCAGCAGTAAGAGCTACATGGTCAATGCAAGCAATTTAATGATAATTCATCAATGAACTAAAATCCAATCAGGTGTCATAATTGTGTATTACCTGAACTTGGCAATCGTAATAGTGGTATAAAATATCATTACAATATTGAGTTAGACTACAATACTGGAAAATGAGTGTATATAAAAACAGGAGGATGTGGTATGATTTCCGATGAGACAACTCTCCACCAGAGACAAATGACTTAGAAATTATAAGTCACCGTACGGTCTTCAACAATGAGCACAACGCATACTGCGTATTCAACTATAAAATGCCCCGAAATGACAAATGTTAAACAATTCAAACGAAAAAATTAGCGGCCTGATTTATGTACAAAATAATGAACTCAAAACCAATACGATATACAACAAATGACAACCACTGATTTCAGGCTCCTGTTTTGGGACAGGCACATACAAAATGTGGCAGGGTTAAACTAGTTTGAATGCGCCAATCCGTATCCTAACCTGGAAAAGTGGTGTATTAGTCCAAGAGAGGCGAAAGATACGAAAGGGACATTCAAACTCATAAGTTGAAAATAAACTGACAATGCCATGGCTAAAAAAGAAAAAAAGACAAACATACAAACAACAGTTCACAAAACACAACATAGAAAACCAAAAAAAAAATGATAAGAACAAACTATAAAAATCAGTTGAAAAGGGATGAACTTGTCAGATCGATACAAAGCAGAAATACATCTGACAATAGCACAGACCGAACGTAGCGGGGTTTCTATCCATCCCCAAAACACAAAAGTCACCAAATACAGATCAGAGAGCTATTCTACAAACAGGGAACAGATTGTGGATGATTCTTTGTTTAAAAAATTCGTAAAGATACAAACGCGGATTCCTTTTTTGAAATATTGAAAAATAAACAGATTCATAGTTAGAATCAAATGTTGTTTATTCATACGCCTTTACAAGATATGTTCTATGAAACTGACCTTATTTTATATCCGGTTTATTACAGATACTTATTATTTAGCATGTGCTATTGTAATCTGATTTTGATTCATATAATTGTTTTGATTATACCCTGCTCATACTCTCCGAGTTTTAAAGAGCAAATACCACTGTTTGGACAGGCAGACAAATGCATTATATATCTTAGATATTGGAACGGATTTTAAATTAGAATCAAGAGGATAACAAGAAAGAGTGACTTCAGTTTCAAAGATTGCCTGAATACAATCTCATTTTAAATTAAGGAGATTATGTTTTAAATTTACATGATAAACACTGTCCAGCAAAGACATTACCATTTTTTCACAAACCTTCTGACTATGATAATCAAAATCATTAATTATTTTTACACTAAAAACAAACAAATATTCAGATTATGTATATATAGGTAAGACGATTGGGGTATGACTGCCAACAAGACAACTATCAATAAAGACTAAAACACAAAGTTTTGACCATTTTTTGGTCATCAAGTGACATTCAAAAATGAGGTAAAAGGCAAATTCATCAATTACATTGTGGTCTTAAAGGTCCCAAAGGTATGACAGAGGGATTAACATGCAAAATAGTACACCAACAGACTATTAAACATCGACAATGAACGACAAATATATGTATTGAAAGCACCGCCCAACCACTGGATGACTTATAGCCGCTGGAGTACATAAAGAATGTAGTGGGGTTAAACACTATTTTCAGTGCTTCTCTAACCCAAGAGAGTAGTTTGACAACACGACGAAAGATCAAACAGTAAACATTAATATTAAAGAACATAGAAAATAACTCAAAAAATGCACAGGACTCAGAAGACAGATTAACGAATTGTCGCCTTTATCAAAAGCTAGTTCAAAGTCTAATCGATGGTAAGTACTGAATAAACTGAATAAACAATGTTCTTCCTTACTTATATATTGAACGATTAATCCGTTGACTTCATGCGGATTTTGGTATAAAGATGTAAGAAGCAATTTGGGAAAAAGATTGACCTTAAATATGTTATGTCAAATTATAAATATATATGTCGGACCATAAGTGTATACCTGAATAGTAATACATTAAATTATATAGAAAATAAATCAATTTCAGTACCGATAGATCAATATTCAAAGATCTTACTGCAATTCTGAATTGATAACCTTAAAGAATTGCGTTTTTCCCTTTCAAGTGAGCAATACATTAATCCATATTTACGATCCCTTTAAACCTCACCATACTTCATCCTTGAAGAACTTGATTTATCTATTTTGAGATTGCCTCCAGTAACCGCCAGTACTCTTAGATCGGAACTTTCCGATTTTTACTTTATAGTTATTGTTTGTGCTTCATTCACATGACACTGTATTGAGTTAAGCCGCTTTCAACAAAACTATAATTTACAGCTTGTTCTTTTGCTCTGTTGAAACCCATTTTTCGAAAACAGTATACATGGATCATTCCCTTGAAAATTGATCAACTCTAAACTTTAAAATAATACATTTTCTTTTATCAATGCATGATTGGGGCGTGCAGAATCTGAATGTAGTTTATGTTGATGTTGTTTTTTGTTGTTGCAATGATGGTGTCAGTTTTTCGTCGACTGATGAGTTTTGAATATCCATTTGGTATCATCTGTCTTTCTTTTGCTCCTTATGCTTTTTGATGCAAATCATTCATTCTGTATATTCAAAATAGATTTATTCAGGAGCCTGTTGTTTAGTGGTTGTCGTTTGTTAGTGTGGTTCATAATTGTTTCTCATATCTCGTTTTAATATAGATTAAACCATGTTACATCCAAAATTAAATTTTAATTTGTTTACAACATTCTACACAATGTTTATTCAATTAATGGCATAACACTATTTTCTCTGATTACCTTATTTTAAAATGTGATTTAAATGTTTAGCTTATAAAGTCGGCCTACTTGTAGTAACACAATGCTTTGTTGAAACAAGCCCAGTTTAATATCGTAGTCACTCGTGCATTAGTTACTGAATTAAGAGACAGCCATGATTACCGTTAAAAGGAATTAATAATCGCTGTCTTGAAGGATTTTTGTGCAATCGATTAATAATTCATAACATTAATGTCTATATGTAATCGATAACAATCAATTGTTTTATCAAAATGAATAGCAATTGTTTTCGATTACTGCCATTAAAAATGCTACAAAATAGAAGAAAAATATGAATGAAGAAAATATAAACACAATATACTTGTTAAAAGTATTCACCTTGGAATTTTAGATCTTGATAAAAGCATCACTTAAATCATTGTTATCAACAACTTTTATGTAGACAGTTGTTTTCTAGATGGATGCTTGTGATGAAAATCCAAAGTCTTTACAAATACATATGGGTTTCCATCAAGAAACAAGGGTGAAAAAGTTCTTGCAATGACAAGGACAATGAACCATCATTTCTATATTATTTTAAGCCATTTGTTCCATATTTTGCACACTTTTGCTATCTACTGACTAAAACTATGTGGCTATTTTCAGTCATTATTTGACAGATATATTTAAGTGTAGTATTATTATAATGCTTGAAGTTTCTTCTGAAACAAAAATTAAAGTTGAAGGATAGTTTGTCGAACTAGTTTTATAGATAAAATATGTGACACTCATAATAACATAGTTACATGGATGTATCTTTTTTGTTTTGATAATTCCTTGATAACAGATAATAAAATACTCAATAGAGTTAAATTCAGCACTTTGGCAAATAGACATGATAGAACGTAAGTCAAACATTTAATGAGCCATATTTGAAATCAAAATAGCATTGATTGAAAAACTTTGATCATCCGATCAGTAAAGACAACAAAGCATTTGAAATTTAATTATTCTCTATTTACTTTTATAAAAAATACATAAGTTAAGTGTCAAATGAGATAGATAGTATCTATTACTTCACAAGAATTCAAATGCATTGGTGCATTGTCAAGAGTGTATTGCATCTTTTGTTTATCTTTATACATGTATCTAAACATTATAAAGAAACAAAGGTTTATCTATTCTAAGCTATTATAGAAAGATATGCTTTTAGTAACTTCTAAAAAAATCAAGCTTTGTACTGCAATTAGGTACAGAACTGAACGCATACCATGTTTTTACTTTTTTTTAATACCACAAAGTAAGGTTTTTGATACAATTAATCAAATTTTAATATTTCATAATAAATTTAATTTGTATGTGATTTAACAATCATAAAAAAATAACCAGTAGCATTTCAAATTAAAATAATTCATTCTCTCTGTGAAGAGATATGAAATAATTACTATGTAAAGCTCAATTTTAGTGATGCAGAACATATAATGGTCATGTAGGACTTGTAATTTCCTAGTTTATATTGTACAAAGTACTAAACATGGACATAACATCAATAAAAAGCACGAAATAAATAATTTCACTCAATTTGAATCAAATATTGAAAACATACTAAACAAAATTGTATATTGTGACATAGTCGACAAAACCCAGACGTATTTACTTCTGATCTATTTTAAAATTTGACGCTACGAATGTGCCTCATTTTTATTTTCATATAATGTCGTCAAAACGTGTTATCTTTCTGCACTGATTAAGACTTTTTAAAATGTAATTTAAGTGCATTGTGTGATATGTTTTTGTATTGTTCCTCTTTAAAGAATAAAATTAACCGAATACTATTCAAAATAGAATATTTAAAATCATTGGTTTTCATAGAATGATTATTGCATTCTTAAACAGGTAAATATTGTTATGAATTTTACCTATTTAATATATATGGATATATATATTTACACTTAATTTTGTTTTACCAAGTAATGGATAGCAGATTTGATTGTCTTTTATATAGACTGGATGTAATATTATGATACAAGTAAGTACTTATATTAGTTATGTCAATTAACACATTTTATGGTTAGACGTGACTGCAAAACGCATATGTTAGAGATATATTTTTAACCACTCAAGCATTCAAAGAATACAAACTGGCATAAATACAATACAATACAATTTTTGATCAAACAAACTAAAGCCCATTTAGCATATGGTTAGGGCATTTTTTTTAAAGACACTACATCTACTAATGAATATTAATGTACACACAATATATACCATTAACAAAAGGAAATGGACAGACAATTAATACATTTCAATTGGTTGATTGATATCTAAAAATAGCATGTGTTACTTGTGCATGCTTAGCAGAAGACCTTTAATTTGTAGCACCAACTCGTGACAGTTTCTGAGTTCTTTTCATTTTTATAGTTATTTTTTGTTACCTTGATTTGTCTTTTCAATCGATGTATGCGATTTGAACATCGGTAAAATAATGTTGTTTTAATTTACAATTGATTGCGTATTCATTGCTTGTAAATTAAACCCACAGCGGCAAATATTTTCTGCTTATTCAAGACGACTTTCACCAATTTTAGTCATAAGCTTTTTATATTAACTGAATTATCTAAATTTATATATGAAGAAAAGATATTAACCAACGTATAGGTTCTTTTAAATTACAAATGGATGACAACATACGCATTGTTCCTCCTTTTGTTTTTAAATAAGGTGTATCCAAGACTATTCTCTTGTTTAAGATATTGCCCTATTATATGTGTCGCTCTCGATCTATTCGCAAGGTATGTATAGATTTGTCACGATGATGTATTTTCTCTGTTTAAATAAGTTGAGGGTTGAACAGGTTTTAATACCAAACTTATATTTAAACTTGAATTTTGCTGATTATTTTCCTTGAGATCTCAATCTCTTTTTTTTTTTGTTTTCCAAATACGAACATAATGTTCAAAATAAGATTCACTTGAATGAATATTTTAATATTACTTTCATCCTTTTTATTAACTATAATTAAATATTAAAAGAAAAATTATGTAATTTTGAATTTGCCTTTTTGCGACTTATCATCCTCTCCTAAAATGCATGCACCATTGAAGGTCATACAACGTTTGTGTACCTTCAAAGACACAGCAACCTGTGTGTATAATAAAAATACACAGCACTGAACCAAAATGTCTCTTTTAAGAGGAAAATAATAAAAAAATTAAAAAAAAATGTTTTCAACAATAATTGCGACCACCGCAAATGACCAGTTAGATGCATGAATCAAGAATTTTAATTTACATTCACACTATGTATAAGATGGCAGTTCCCTGTAGCCCACTTTGTGACACATCGATGCCTTCCAGGACACTGACCCACCCTTTCCCAGGTTTTAAAGAAAGTTCTGTCGCTTCGTCGTTATTTAACCTATTTTAGTTTTTGACATATGTTTTATCTGTTAATATTTATTCTTTTGGCTCCGATGTTTTCTGCCTTTTTACAACTTAATTTTGTTATCCATTTTAACACATTCAAATGAAATTCGTAGTTCACTAGATTTGTATTTTTTATTTATTATCGTTGTCTCTTTGCAATAATGACTTCTACCTATAGTGTTATTTGTAGAATATTTATCATTTAAGATTTTTCCAATATGGCGGAACATTGCAGTGATAATACACCTCAAGCTGCTATCATGTGTCTGTTTTGCAATCAACCAAATGTAAAATGGAAATGTGAAGAGTGTGGTCACATGTGCAATGCGTGTAAAGAAAAAGTTCACAATAGACTAACATCATCGCATAAGCACACGATTTCATATCTTAAAGATATTGGAAAGGTAATTACAAGTGTTGATATTTACTACCAAATTTTCTGTTAAAACTGTTCACAAATGTATGTTTATGTGTTGATATCTATATAGTTCCTAAGAATTAAACGTTGTATATATATATAATACATTATATATCTATGAAAGTAAGAAGATGTAGTATGATTGCATCTCGATCAGAGACCAAATGATATAGAAGTTAACAGTCATAAGTCACCGTACGGCCCTCAACAATGAGCAAAATTAGTAACAATTACAGTATATATTAAAGGATTTCGCTTCTGTATTTTATTTGTAATATTCAACTATACATGTTAAGGCGGTCAATGCAACGCCCGTTTTGCGGCGTATCTAACCAACGGCTGCAGCTACAGTAGAAAGTACATTTTGACCCTGCTTTTAAAATTATGCGACTTTTATCAAAATCATTTTTTTTTAAAAGCGGTCATCCTCTTGTGAATTGGTAGGCGCACTATTCGTGTTTTATTGCACGCTTTCAACAAATAGTCTGTGAATGTGCATGTGAATGCGGAAATCTGACAGACGACGCCTTTATGTTGAAGTAAATCTGAAGGAAATAGCTTTGGGAAAATACATTGTTTTAAAGGTGAAAGTTACAAGGCAAAACGAAATAAAATCAAAGTATAAATGTTCGATACAAAATCTGAATGTTAACCTTTTAAATATTTTACTTTGTTCATCAAAAACTATATATGTGTGACAATTTTTGTCTACTATTTGAACATGTATTTCTACTTTAAGTGTTGCTTGAAAATATTGTATATTTCAGTTTTGTGAACAATAGTATATATTCAATCGTGTGTGTTCAGGATTTACAAAGGTATCTGATTTCTTTTAAACAAAACTCAATAGGCATGACTTGATTCTTCAATAGTTTTATATCATCGATACTTTAAATTGTGTTTTCCTTAGCATTCCATTGATGTATATACCGTATCTACGTTTTAAAAAATGTATTGTGAAGAACATTGCTTTTCTTATTCACATTTTAAGAGGTATCGTAATACCTTTAGTATTGAAGTCAATTCTTATAATTTTACAAATATAAGTACTCAAAAATATTCTACACTGAAATAAAATCCCACCATAACAAAGTATTTCATATTTAGATTACTTGTACCGAATGCCCTCGCGTCGCAGGGAAAAAGTAATACTATCATATGTTGGTCCGTCCGTCCGTCCGAAACACATTCATGTTTTAGCGTTTGTTTGTGATGTGTTTCTGTCACGTAGTGTTGTCATTTTAGCGATATATATTTTTTAACATTGTCATAAAGCGGGAGGTTTGGCTAGCCATTAAACCATGTTCCACCGACTTTTTTCTTAAAATATCAAGACAGGAATTAGGCAGTTGTTACCAAATAGTTCGTATATATGTATGTTGGCGTATGTTTTTGTTGCACTTCAGTGTTCCTGTTGTCCCTTTGTTTTCCTCTTATTATTGAGGTATTTCCCTCGGTTTAAGTTTTTAATCCGGATTTGTTTTCTCTCAATCGATTTATTTCTTTTGAACACCGGTATACTACTGTTGCCTTTATTTATGCTAAAGGGACGTTTTGACAGAAAGTTTGCATACTTAGAAGGCTTATTTGCCCTAAAAAATATCGTCTTTACCATTTGTTGGAGATTTGCAACAATGAAACTTGTGCGACATTTCATACATGGTAGGACAGTTATCCATCATGTCATGGGAAAAAGACCACCATTTACCTTCATTGAGATTTGAACATTGTTTTCGTTTACTAATGGCCCTTTTTTAAATGTTGTACCACAATGACACTATGGCTGGCCCGTTGCAAAGCACCAACAATTGCAAAGTCTTAAAATACACTTAATAAAGTAATACATGTTCCTGTTGTACAACTCTATCGGAACTTAGGGCTTCAATTAATACAGGCTGTAGAAAGTTGCATAAATGGTTATTATCTTAAGCATCTTTTTCATTTTCTTAGATAAAGGCAATGTAAATAACACAAAGTCATCAAGGACCGAAAGAGGAATCGATGTTCTTTTTATAACCCCTATTAATGATTTCCTTTATGCAGTAAAAGGGTATAACAGAAATACCGAACTCCAATGTTAATTCAAAAATATTAAGTCCATAAACACTGATAAAATCAAACGTTTTCAGTCAACGAAACGATTGAAAAACAATTGTTATATTCAAGACTTGGTATAGACATTTTTTGACGAACATAGTTTAAACCTGGTTTATAGCTTACGTTCCCCTTGTATGACAGTCGTTTAATATGATCTGTTATTTTAACAACATAAGGTGAGCAAACCCAAACAGTCATATAGGGCACTGTAATCATTTTTTATGACGATTGTAAAACAAATTAAAAGAATTTGATCAGATAATAATCAATTATTATAATAATAGTCAATTGCATAATTATTTTGACACATATTCGACTGCTGAAATACTTAAAAGTTGAAATGTAATGCTGCTAAATATACAACTGATATAACATATTATATATTCATGGTGATAATGAAATTAGATATCGTCATCCATGTTGGATGATACAGAGAAGATATCAAGATATCAAAAACAGTTTGAAACAGATATCGATAATAAAGTTCAGGTTATTTCAAATCTAATTTATCACTTATTGTTTTCTATATCTACAGGGATATTCTTATTCTATATATAAAACTTGTAGAGAATGATCTGCTTACCCGTCTTGATATCACCCCCAGTTTTTGGTGGGGTTCGTGTTACTCATTCTTTAGTTTTCTATGTTGTGTATTGTGTACTATTGTTTGTTTGTTGTTTTATTTTCTTATTAGCCATGGCATTTCAGTTTATTTTCGACCTATGACATGTATGAGTTTGGAAGTCCCACTGGTATCTGTCGCCTCTCTTTTTAAATCAACCAATGCCAGTATTGAATCAGTAATAAGACAGTTGTTTTCCTTTTGTTTGAGGTGTTTGAGCTTTTAATTTTGCCATTTGATAAGGGACTTCCGGATTTGAATTTTACTTTGAGTTTGGTACTTATTTTATTTCAATCAACAATTTTGGACCAACAGTTGAAATATAACATCATCATGTATTTATTGTTCTTCCGAAAAATTATTGATAGGCTTTTCAAAGAAAATATACGTTTAAGTTGTTTTTTTTCAAATTAAAAGAAATATTATTAAATTTGACACTCAGAGGAAGACAAAAACAATTTGTAAACAAATCGCACATCTGGCGAAAATACAAAATTTCAATTCTGGTATCTGTGATGAGTTTATTTAGTACAAAGCTGCCAACGATTATTTTGACCAATATTTGTAATAAAAAAAAATGTTAGTGGGAATACATAAGCTATTGGTTAATTTGCTGTTATTCATTACATGCATTACACATGTTACAAGTTGATTTGAAAAAAAAAAACTATTTATGATGTTTGCATTTTTGTTTGTAAATGAATGTCGATACGGGCTCTATGCATTTTTTGATTATGTGTATGCAAATTAACAAATATATTCCTTCATACATCATTTTAACATTAGAACATAGAAAAAAAAAGAAAACATTATAATTTTACTTTGTATTGACATGTCATACCTTCGATTACTCTCAATTGAGGCATATTCCTTTCTTTTTTCAAGAACATTTGTTTCGAAGATCAACCATGGTACCACGGTAATATAACGCGCAATGAAGCAGTGAAGTTACTTCAAAAACACAAACGTATGGGAGACGGTGCTTTTCTCGTACGGGAAAGTCGATCAAATATTGGTAGCTTTGCGATAGACTGTATGTAAGTATTATTCATAACTACACAAAAAGACATTTTTACCACATGTGGAGCAGGAACTGCTGACCATTTTGTATCTTTCACCTCTCTTTTTCAATAGACATATTCGAGAGTTATATTGAAAACTTTTTTAAAGCGTGATTAAGAAATTTCGTGGAGAGAAGAGGTAGATAAAATCCATTTTCTAAAAGATTTTGTATCTAGTCTTTAAAATTTGGAATATTTCAAAGTCTGGATAACACCGCTAGTTGAATATATACATAATCACACTATTAAAGGTGTCAAATATATGGAAAATAAAGGCAACAGTAGTATACCGCTGTTCGAAACTCATAAATCGATAGAGATAAAAACAAATTCAGGTTACAAACTAAAACTGAGGGAAACGCATCAAATATAAGAGAAGAACAACGACACAACAAAAACACAACATTAAAATGTAACACACACAGAAACGAACAATAATATAACAATGACCATTTTCCTGACTTAGTACAGGACGTTTTAAGAACAAAATGGTGGGTTGAACCTGGTTTTGTAGCATGCCAAACCTCCCGCTTTAATGGCAAATTCAAACACAACACCAAAACGACAACATCACATGACAGGACCACAATGCAAATAAATGGGAAAATCTAGATACAAAAATTCCGCCAAATCTTCTATGGCCTCGATCTAAAAAAAAAACAGGTCACATACTCTTCATTATTGTTTGCCTTTTTAGTTCCATAATATATATATATATATATATATATATATATATATATATATATATAATTATATACTATCAAATTATAACAGAGTAACGAACAACATAAAGATGTTTTCAACTTAAAATTCATTTCTTGTTGATAATCTTCCGTTGACTTCCAAGTGCTATTAAGTCCAGGATATATAGGTTTTAAAAGAGTACAGTAACACCAAAATAACAATGAAAGGCAAATTAATGTTAGTATTAATATATTTATTTCAGAAAAATGATTTTCGTCAGCGAAATTATATAAAACGAGTCTATTTGATTCATCCTGATCCATCTGTTAAGCCCTTTTTAACTGATTTCATTGTTTGTTCTAATGTTTTACTGGCACACCACTGTCCCAGGTTAGAGAGAGGGTTTGCGCTTCAAAATATATCAACTTCGCCATATTCTGTATGTGCATGTCCAAAGTCAGGAACCTGTTATTCAGTGCTTGTCGTTTAAAGCTATATATCATATTAGTTTTTTGCTCATTATCTTGTACATAAACGACGCCGTTAGTTTTCTTGTTTGAAGTGTTTGATTTTTTCCATTTCGGGGCCTTCTATAGCTGACTATGCGGTATTGGTTTTACTCATTGTTAAAGGCTCACGGTGACATATACATATAGTTGGCATTTGGTCTTTCGTGGAGAATAATATCATTGGCTATCACACCACATGTTCCTAGTTTTATGATAAAAATTCAAAATGTAATAGAAATTAAAATTGTAATTGTAAATTATCGAAGTTCGCACAAATTTCGTATTTACAATAAGGCTGTGTAAGTATACATCCAAAATGAAGTACACTTCCAGCATATAGTGTTTAACACAGCGGGAATTGAACTGCACCATTTCATTGATCCTGTTTGTTGCAGTTTATTTCATTTTCGTATTCGTCATCTTTCCTGAGTGATTTTCCACTCCCTGGCCGAAGTAGGATTGTGGTCGATGATGGTTACAGTAAGTTACCTGAGATATACATAAGTATGGTCAGGGGATCTCGAATATCAACTGAGAGGAAGACCCAGCTTACAGTGATAGCCTTTCATACGTTTGTGAAATGACTGTTCTCACTCACCAATATACTGTTATTACATTTACACTGTAGTTGATACAAAGTATATTAGTCTTGTAAGTACAAATGAAAAATAAAGTGTATATCATATATACAAATAGCATGACTTTTGAAATTCTGGGTATGCAGTATGTGGTTCAAAGTCAGACACCGTTTGTTCCCACATCTCATCTTGATGCCTGCCTGCGAGAACACTTCGAAAAAAGATACATCTGCCTTCTCCAGCAAGTCTTGAAGACTTTTGAGCCTACGGGAGGCAAGAAAGGGCGGCTCGTTGAAGATCTTGGCTTGTATAGGATATTTTTCTACTTTTTTACATTTTTACATCGTAGTGACTATAAGTGTAAGCCAGAACTTCCTATCAGCCGAAATTTGACATCCCCTGACCTCACTATATTAAAACAACAGTGGTTAACCGAGGTTATAAATGACCAATCAATATAACAAACAAAAACTAAGTTAAACTACAAAAGGAGTGGAACCGATTGCGTTGACATGAAAAACGTGTTTCGAATATGTTATGTCGCGTTTCCTCTAGCACTCAGTATACTGTGATAGCTTTTTCTTTATATCAGTTGCGTTGGATAGAAATCGATCTTATGTAAATGAATGTCAATACATCTGTTAATCTATATTTACGGAAACTCTGTTACTGTTATATTATATATACCCTCCAAAACAGACCCAACTTCGTCTTTTTTACGTATTTCATCAACGTCTAATATATATACATGTATTTGTGCACTTGTGTTAGGGCGATTTCTATTCGACTCAGCTCATATATAGATATTCATTTTTCACATGCATTTTTTCTATATGCCCAATGCGAACTAAAACAACCACGGAATACATATCCATTATAATGTTTGATGATTTAGTATCTATTCATTTTCAGCTATTTGGAATGTTGTCATAGGCTTCTCCAATATAAACATCAATAATTGTTTTGAAAGTGAATGTGCCACTCAGGTTCTAAGGTGACGTCCACATACTGTCATGATCGAGATAAGGGCAATTGGCTGTTGTTATAGGAGACTTATTTCAGTTACCAACCTGACAATTCTATGTTTTGACGAATAAAACCTTTTCCTTGTATAGCTAAACCTTTTTGCTTTTGTGAAATGTTTCCCGTCGTACACTTAGCAGGCGAAGCTGTGACAAAAGATTCAGTCTGCATTGTTGCAAGTGAAAATGAATATTCCTCGAATATCCAAGTTTATTTAAGCTATTTTCAAAACTGGTCTTCTAAAAGTACGACAAATTGCCATGCAGAATAAAATATGTAATTTCAGCTGCAAATGACCATTGACAAATTCTCAACATGTGTCCTGTCCCCTCGATGTGACAAGACGATTTACAGTTTTGGGCTTAACAGAAGAGTCTTTTCTGACATAAGAACAATGAAAAACTTTTCAAGTTCTACTTTAAAGGTCCTTACTATCAAAGTATTTTATTGTTCAAACATTTTGTTAGTTTTAAACCCTTCACTGATTTCAATCAGGTGATTTTGTTCAATGTTTCCAAGTTTTTGCGTTATGAGCACGCGCATGTTAATAAAGTCCATTTAAATGTGCACACAAATCAATGCGTGTTAATTGGAAATGAAAACACTATATGATGCAGCATAGGATTTGTCACTCCTACGAAGTGGAAAGTTGACAACGGAGAAACTGAAATCTTCATTGTAACAGATCCTTGTTTGAAGTCGTCCATTTGTTTGTTTTTAAAACAAAAAGCTCTTAATTCAATTTACAAAGGTACTGTGGATTCATTTAATTTCGTGGATAATAAGTTTCGTGGATCGAGGAACAAATATATTTTTGTTGGATTCTTGATTTCGTGGTTGGTCGTTAGTCTGTTTACAAGCCTATAGAAAACTTGTACTTCGTTGATCATTTAAATTCGTTGCTCACCTTTCCCAACAGAATCAACAAAAAATGGTATTCAACGAATGACAATAAATCCACAGTATATTTATGCTACTAAAATAACGAGGTCCAATTTGTTAACCGACATGACGTAAAAAACAACGGTTCATAGAATTCAACTTTAAATATAACTATTATAAGACAATGATGTTGATTAAAAATTACACCATTCCGGGCTCTTTTGTTTTCCAGATAATTAATAGTACCAAAACTCAACAAGATATCGATACCAGTAGTATTTGTCACATGTAGTTCCCGGTTTTATGTATGTATGTTTTGTCTGTACCTCCTTAAATAGGTTCAAAACCATGTGTTATAGTTTTAAAGGGGGACGTTAAATACATTGTATCGGTACACATTTAATGTGAGTATATGCCTACCCAGTTCCTTAGCCTGGCCATGACGGGGTTTACTATTAGAAAGTTAACCTGCGCCCAAAAAAGTAGTAAGAAAACCAGGACGTGTCAAAATAGAAAGATTTTGAAAGCAGAGAAAACTATACACTATATAATCAGCATGACTTTATCAGATGACAATACGATTACTAAAAATCCAGCTAAAAAAAAAAGTCGTAGATACTTTAATTTAGTCATGGGTGTGTTTTAGTTAGTATCAAAATACCCACGTTATTACAATTTGATTACATTTCTATCCCTATATCAGGGTGAGTGGTGAACCAAGACATGTACAGATACAACCAAAGGAGAAGTCTGGACAGATGAAGTATTATGTAGGTGAAGAACCATTTGATGGACTTAATGATGTTATCGAATTTTTCAAATCAAATGTGATAGTATTGTCAACAACTGGTCCTTCAACATGTATTGTAAGACTTACTGAACCTGTTCTGCAAGAAACTTACATGTAATACATATGTGATGTTTAAAAGATGCATGGCCGATGACTAAAAGACATCCTCGGACACACTCGAAGTTGATTAAAATATTATTCCATTTTACTTTAGATCTGTTATTCTTTTCTTTTTATTTATCTTCCGAGTTTTTTCAATTGACCGTTTGTATGTGCATTACATCATTAAAAGAAAGAACTATAAAGGCAACATTAGTATACCGCTGTTCAAATAAGTATACACATGTGAAAAAACAGCTTTGTAATTGATATCTCAAAAGTAATAACTTCAAGTGTAAAGCAAGAAAAAAACTGTTACCCTAGTATCAATATACATGTACTTTAACCGACAGAAATTGAACCGGCTAGAACAAATTCCTTTAACAAGTATACCTGAACTGATTTCGCGCAATTCCAAACTGTATATAGAAACAAAACTAGTTTCGAAACAAGGCTTAAACCCCTAAACTGAGCAATCAATCTAAGAAGGCGCCAAACATATCAGCAGAATAACAAATATAGCCAGCCGATATCGTGTAAAATAAGGTATGTTAAAATAACATATTTCAACAAGTATGGATACTGGCAACATCAGCAAATATCGATACTGGCATATGGATCCATGTGTATCGCTCTCAAAATCAATACATGTACAATCTTATCAAGAAAAAGTTTTCATTATTAATTTAATGGTCTTTTAAAAATTCAATATGCAAATGTATTTGCATTAACTCGCGTAAAGCCTTTTTCTGTAACGAAAAAGGAAAGTAAGCTAGATACACTTACTGGAAATGTGAAGATATGATTGAAGCTTTAAATTTTCTCCTGGACAACATATATGTACGTTTTGGCGATAAAGTGTATCGACAGGTAGTAGGTATTCCTATGAGCACTAACTACCCCCTTTAATAGCAGATTTGTTCCTATATTGCTATGAGTCACAGTTTATGGTCAAACTCAGTAAAGACACGTAATTGTTACATTTGGTTGACAACAATACTCACCGTTATCTGGATGATATTATTTTGTTAAATAATCCAGAGTTCTCTAAATATACTACCTAAATTTACCCAAAGGAACTTACTTTCAATAATTCTAACATAAACAGCAGTAGTTGTTCTTTTCTAGATTTAGACATTTCAATTTCTGAAGGGAAACTCCATATTAAAATTTACGACAAAAGAGACGATTTGTCATTCCCTCTTGTTAATTTCACCTTTTTAGACGGCAATCTTCGTTTTGCTCCATCATACGGGGTTTATATATCCCAACTCGTTCGTTATGCCCGTATGTGTAGTGCTGTCATAGATTTTAACGAACGTAATCAATGTATTACTGGTAAACTATTAAGTCAGGAATTTCGTTACCATAAATTACTGAAAACATTTGCTAACTTCTTTCATAGATACAAAGATTTGATTAGTATATTTGGCTGTTCCTGTAGAAAACTTATCAAAAAAGGTATTTCACATCCTAAAATGTATGGTCATATTGTACTAAAAGCGCGGAAATCACTATGTGATCCGTGTAAACTCATCGAACCTTTAAACATACGTATTAGTAAAGGTTATCTTATTAATATAAGATTTTTGAATATTGTTTACATTGGCACTTACATTGATTTTGTCATCAACAAATTAAAACATAACTGAATTTGTATTCTTATCGAATGGTTTTTTGGGATGCATAAATACACATCCACGTTTGTTTTCTGTTTACAGATTGTTTCCCTCGGTTTTGGTTTGTGACCCGAATTTGTTTTCTCTCAATCGATTTATTACTTTTGAACACCGGTATACTACTGTTGCTTTTATTTATCTATATATATAACATCATACATATTTATCATAAGGTTAAATCCTAACTATCCTAATGCCTGTCGATACTTTTATTTTGGCATTGCACCAGTCATGTCTTCTTTGACTGTCCATGGCGTTAAAACACCAAATCCCTGCCTGAGATGTGTTTCAATTGATTTTAGTCTCTGATGCATGATATTTTTATTATTAATTGTCTTTGGCTTTTATCTAGCTTTCGGTAACTTCGAGTACTCTCAAATCGTACTTTCGTGTTAATTTTACCGTGTTGAAGGCCGTACTTTGACCTATAATTGTTTACTTTTTACACATTGTGACTTGGATGGAGAGTTGTAACATAGGCACTCATACAACATCTTCTTCTCTATACATGTATAAAAAGCATGCTGTAACGACAGATCTTAATGTGTACTTGCACAATTGTCTCCAGTTATATGTAAAATAATAGTAAACGTGTACTTAGGCACTGATTTTCAATATCTAAAGAAATCATAATGTTTCGGAAAAAAAATGTTGAATTCAGTTGGATTAATTGGAACACAAAAGGAAAAGAATATATCAGGCGAGCAATTAAACAACAGTATTTTGAAGAATAGTAAGAAAATCAACTCCATGGCAAAAAAAAAAAAAAGAATAGACAACCCCAATTTCACTAAACACTACACGAAAAGTTAGGATCGGATAACGCAAACCAAACCGAAACGGAGGGTGAAGTTTCGGAAGGTTAAGAAATTCCAGCTCCAATAGAGACCTTCATTGTGTTTGTTGATCATTTCAAGTACAGATGATTCATCGCCTGTAATGATTTGACAAGTGGTACATTGCTATTGGCATCCGCGGCACAGATATTTCCCAAAGGTCAACAAAAAATATGATGGCCCCGAAAAACTTCTGAAGACATGACCTCAAGTTTATCATTAAGTTTCCTTGGTGCAATAACTTTCTTGTAAATAGCACGTCTCTATAAATTTTCCCCCCATAGAAATGAAAATCTTGTTTTTTTCGTTAACTGGTAGATATATGCTCGAAATACAAATGAGATGCTGGAATGCACCTACATAAACTATAACACAAGGAAAATGATTGATTTAACCGTAAAATGTATGTTTCCTATAGATAGATGAACAAGTCACAACAACCAAAGGATAAACTTAAAGTCTCTACGGCTGTCGTCATATTTGTCATGTTGTTTGGGAATTGACTGAAAGCAAAATTGGTTCCGTAAATACTGTTTATCTAGAAATCTAGTTCGCTTATAAGTGACATTGCTCTCGAATTTAAATGATTCTTGGCAATTTTAGATGTCAGAATAAATCAAACCAAAATAAGGATAAGAAATCTCTTTTGCGACGCGTTGAATGTCTGGTAAACGGTTATTTCAGATTGAAGCACAGTCTCTAATGTTTACTTTTTATATCAAATACGAAAGAGGGAACACACTTTCGGATATAAATACTTTGTTTGAGGTCTGCAGTTGAATTCCGAAGGGTATATTAATAACCTCTAAGGTTCTTCAAAAAGAAAATAAAAAGAAAACAAATCCGATTTTTCCTACGATTTGTCTACTTTTTCCTTTCAAAAGAGTGTAACTGCATATTTTCAATAATATTTGTCAACTGACACAGTCAGACACAGAATGTGCTCATCAAAGCATTGGAAGCTTTCAACAGTTTATGAAAAAGGAAGGTAAACTGAAGGTTTTGGTTGTAGTGAACGTAGTGGTGGAGAAGTGGGTTGGGGTAAAAGTTAAGATATTGTTGCATCAGATGGGGAGGTCTTCAGGTAAAATATTGTTTACTTAAAAGTACAGAGTCGAATCCTTACGTTCAAATTTTGTATTAAGATGAATCGAGATACTGGATTGACTCTGGAATTCATCAATCGCATAGCTTAATAGACGTTGACGTTATTTTCGACGACATACATTTTGCCTGTTTCTTCCTTTGTCCATCTAACATTTCGTTACTTTGGATTAGTTTTATTGTGAGTAAAACTTTTACCCTTCTAATGAGCTAAAAATGTTGTTTAGATAGTTTGTATTGAAGTGGCTTCATTCTTATAGGAATATGTAAGTCGTGCTATAAATTTCATTTTCGTCTCAGAGTAGTTTATATATTAATTCGCCATATTCTTTTTTACAAATATTAAAACAAATTGTTTTCACGATCATTTGCTGTCGGTTTCACTTAATTTGTACTGTGTTTTCTGTAACCAGTGTGAATTTGTCATCGACACATCCGGTCTAAAACTATTATTTCTATTCTGCACTTTAAATCATAAAGAGCCTTGTCATCAACCATAGTCCCAACCATTTGTCTTTGATGCTATTTGGACTGTATTCTTTCCAATGAGGGTCTGTATAAGGTTGCAGCTCCAAATCTTTCACTGGATTAATGTAACTACTTGATACGTGAGGGTATGCATGTTTGTTGGAGGTCTAAATGTCTGCATTCTTTCATTTTTTGTCATGTTTCCCTGTCATTTATTGTATACCTTCTCCCTCTCCGTAATGGGAATTATATACATTCTCTCTGTTACACGTATTAAACACTTTCTCCCCTCTGTTACATTGGTTATATACTATCTCCCCTTTGTTACACGTATCATTATGATTATATACCTTATCACCACTGTTACAAGTACTATACCTTATCCCCTCTGTTACACAAAGATGATTCAAAATTTCATATTCATTACATATTCTGTTGATATGGTGAATTTGGAAGTAATAGAATATTAGTAAGTCTGAATGTCTCTGTGGTATCTTTAGCCTCTCTTTTATAATTTTGACTTATGTGTCATCCGAAGTGTTGTTTTTGATTTTGTCGGAATGAAAATAAAAACATATATCGGTGTTGACAGATTTATTAAAGTTTTCGTTTTGGGACCTGTTATACTTTATGCGCTTTTTCTCAAACAATTTAGATACATTTTGTTAAGTTCCCTAGTTGAGAAAGGTTCTATATAGCAACAATGTTATTTATATTATAGATGAATATTGTCGAGCACTCAATATTTATCATCTTTCCATGTGCAGTCACATTAAGGGCATTAAATAATATGCCCTAAGTTTTAAAAGTGCTAAGCTTTCTATAGTTTAAACATCTCCTAGTGATAGTTCCATATTTGATTTGTTAGCTGTTGTATGCAAAATGTTTGACCATAATCAATATGAACGCTGTTTCTGGTAACAGTTTTTAGTTCAGTCTTCTGGTCAATCAACTTTTCAGGATCTATCAAACTGCATTTTGTTTAATTGTATCCGCTCTAAATATGTATGAAAATTTTTCCACTTTCCTTTCAGTAAACACCAATTAATTGATCTGTTATTTTATTGCATTGTTCAAAATACACAATCGATTTGAATTTCATTCTTAAAAGTGTTTCGTCTTTTTGTTTTATTTCTATGTCTATTACCAATATGTGACCATAGGCCACTGGAAGTTAAACACGAAACAATCATCAATCTTTTGAATATCAAAATATGAATAAAACAACTATATAAATTGTAGAGCGCAGCTTTATACGATTTCGAAGATTGTTGTTGTTCTGATTAAAAAGTATGTAATGGATATACATTGTTGAAATTTCATTTAAAATCTTATGAATTTATACATAAACAGAATTATAATAATTAAAGGCAATGTAATTAAGGGTCATTTCGTGTGTCTGTCGCTTTTTTCTTATTAAGGACTAACCTGAAAAATATTAAACAAGAAAGATATTTATAGTTGTCGATAAAAACATGGATATACAAGCTAAATATAATAATTGGTTATGCAGAAATATGATAACAAATGAAGTATAAACTATTAATTAAATAAAGAACAAATCATTTTGTAATTAAATGTACTTGGCAATTGAAATATATAAAGTGTTCATTTCACAGTTTATAATTATCCCCTTTCATAAAAGCCAAGAAAAGTTTGACAACAACTTTCTACCCAGTGTCTTTCGGAAGAACGGAATGACGTAAGGACTGCCGGAGTGTGCTAAACGGTCCAAAAATGTAAAGAGTAAAATAACAAAAATACAAAATTCAAAACGGAAAGTCCCTTATAAAATGGTAAAGTAATGTAGTGTTCAAATAAACCCATTAATATCAATATTCCATGGCTATCTGTTCAACTCACGAAATATAAATACTGCTGACATTTTGTTTTAATAATTGATGTATATACATTCTACAGATAGTTATACATTTTATTTTGGGCAACTTGGCCCCACTTGTATAGGTTCTCATTGTTGTGATTAACTAATTTGCCCGTTTTACACATAGCAGACATGTCGTACAATTCATCTCCCGGTATGCCCTTTTATTTGTAAAACTAGCGCTTGAAATATGCTTAAGTTATTTGGCTTCATATACTTACATTGTTCTTCTGTCAGTACCAAATTGTCAACTGCTATGTCTCCTTTGGAAGTGCTGCCTATGAACCCTGTTACTGCTATCTATAACACATAATAAAAATTTGCACGTTAAAAAGATGCGGAAGTTACCAAGTGGAAATAATAAATGCTACTAAGTCGAAGCAAAATTGATAACGTCATGGCACAAACAGAAAGATGACAAGAATACAAACAAGTCCACAAAACGTCACATAGAACACTAAAGACTGAACATTATGAACCTCATCGAAATCTGTGGGTGATGTCAGGTGCTCTTGAAGGCTAAACAGATCCTGCTCTACTAGTACCACCCATCATATTGATCATTAGGAGTACAAAGTTAGTAATAAGTCTCATTGGTAATGCAAGAATCGTGGAACTGATAACAGGATTGTGGTGCGATAACTGAGACATTTTCGTGGTCATCTGTGACACAGAAATTCTATAAAGGTCAACAAACAAGACAAATACTGGTTCTTGACGGATAGTGTCCGTAAAAGCTTATTATTTTGAACCCTTGAATCAATAGCTTCCTTTAAGCAGTAACCCCTAATTAAGGAATAGTGAAAGGAAACGTCAGCTCTGTAATATCGTATCAACTTTGAGGTATATGATCCACATGGAAGTGCCGCTGGAATATTGCTACATAGAAATGGAAAGTTCACAATTGAGAAATTGACATCATGCCTTTTGTTGTAAAGTTTGTTCTCAATCAACCCTTCTCGTCAATTTTTAGATGTAAATCAAGAAACGAGGCATACTTTGCTGCATCTGTAGTATCCTTTATTTCAAGTTTGATATAGTCACCCTATGAATTATCTAATGAGAGGAACTCATCATGATCCATATAGCGGAACGTGATGTTAAAGTTTCCTTTCAAAGGCAAATGTAATAAACTGCAGTTTAGTAAAATACCACATTTCTTACATTCCTCGTTTAAGTTTCCTTCCAAAAAGGAATAAACCAAATTTCCTCAGCAAAATTATATCTACTGTCTTTTAAGAATCATGATAATTATACTGGAAGATTGATTCCCCTAAAAGTTTTCAACAGCACAAGCTAAAACCATACAGTATCTGAAAAGCATAAACACATGAAACAGTTACATTAGCTACCCTCGTTTTCTTCAGTCGCTCAAATAACCCAATCAGAAATCTTGGTAGTTTGTATTTAAACTTTTGTTGTGTAATCCTGCATTTTTTAGTATCATGAAGTTTTTTTTCTCTAGAGAACGGAAATAATATCATATGTTTATAAACATTTTCTTTTCAGAGTTATACAGTCATTATTTTTTACGACAGTTTGATTTGAAGATTTTTTAATTGGTAACTGGTATTTCAGAGGGATATGTCAAATGCAATAAACACAAACTTATTCCTATAAATAATCTCATGATAACACTCATCAGGGAATACACCATTTGACTGGACAACACTGAATATTAACACAGTTTTGCTTACCACAGGATCTGAAATCTGCGGAATGTCAATTTTGGCGATGAACCAATTATCTCCCTGGTGTCCTAAATATGACACCTTAAAACGCCAATTACCAGTACGTTCTTTAGCAGAAATTACTAGTTGGCCTGGTTGTCCTCTCATGTTGATTGATAATGTAAGACAGTATGCAGAATCTGAAATCAAAGCATTTCTGTTTTAAGGATATACATTGTACATTTAAACACAGTATAAAGACATGTCATGGGAATAGAGGAAGACGATATCTAAGAGGACAATCAAAACCCGTTATTCAGAAAAAACAAAAATAGTCTTAGCACATTTAAAGGCGTAGTCTCTTCAAATGTTTTTGAAGTAAAAATTCATATTGGTTATTAACACGATCAACTATTTTTTTAAATACAAAGCGTTTAAGTGATTTTTTGAGGATCTTCGCCATTTGTCAGATATTTTTCTAGTAGTACATTTGGTAGTCTTTAAATGTTTTGCTTACTATCAATCCAGATCAACCTTATCTTTTTGCATAATTCATGAACAAATAAAGTTGTATGCAAATCCTAAACAAGTGACCAGGAAATGTTTGTTAGTGTTATAGCAATGTATTTTTATACATTACATCCTTCTTTTGTTGCTTGTATCAAATTTTTCTATTACGCTACACTGTATATCAGTGTACATCACTGTACATTTTCCTCATTGTAACGGACATATATATCAAAAACATGATTGAAGGTTTTACTCCAGATTTATTGAATTGTACATGTAAAACATATTTGTCCTGTAGATTTCTAAACATTCTGTATATGATTACTGTGCAGCAACTATCAATCAAGCAGTGTATTTTGAACATACCTCAAGTACTTCTAATTCTACCTTCGATCTTAAAACTGTATTCGAATAGTCTATACATGACAAAATGATAACATGCTACTGGTAGCCTCTTTTTAGCGTTAGTACAAAGTGCTAATTTTGTTAAAAGTGGATATAATGGGTTTTTTCGACTGGTTTTAGTGATTGCTACTTTGAAATGTTCCCATACATGTCACTTTTGTATTTAGAGCTGATACATGCAGTTGTCTCGTAATTTTTACACCTATTTAAAACAATCTGATTGCCAATCAGTCAAAAACACGTGCTAAATGTGTGCGTAGAATACTTTACCTCGGATGCACAAGCTTGATCACAGATTATTAATTTCTCGCATGAATTGAAATACAACAATTTTAAATGATTGCATCCCAGATCACAATTATGTTGTCCTCTCCTTAGTTATTAATGTAAAATAATGCGTCCTATAATCGGATGTTTACTTCAAAGCGGAGAAGGAACGTCCTCTGCACATGCGTGCATCTACTTTTTTGTTCGGTTCTTGTTGCTAAATTGTTAGATATCTGCATATTGGTTCGTGTACTGTTGTTTATCTTTTTTTTTCTTTTCGCCATCGAATTTGCTATCCACTTGTGACTAAGTATTGGTATGCCCTCCTTGGTTTCTTCCTTATTTTTTTTTCATTTTCTTTCAAAAGCAAACTTAACAATCTCCCTTCATTTGCCAAATTCAAATACATGTAAAAACAAAACTTATACAGAGTACTTTGATTCGAGCGTATCCGTTGGAAAGCATTCAAGAACAAACATGTCATGCAAACGCAAGTCCAAATCATAAGGGTATTACCTTTCAGTCTATAGTTTTGAGTTTCAAGAACTGCGAAATCGCCTTCTACCCGAGGTGAAGATGCCTCTGTATACATATAGTATGATCCAGAAGCTGCCCCATTTTTTGGTCCTGTACCACTGCTTGATGTTCTATCCTAATTAAAAGAAACTGGACTGTAAAATATGCAAGACTCTATTGAGACGTATTACTGTGAAAACCCTAAGGTATGAGTACTTCAAAGACACAAGATACCCCTTCGTAAAATGAGTCTACAGAATGCTTCATCAGCTTTTAAGGGGTTGTTTTGTGCTCCCACCTAAAATGTGTGTAACAAGTAATGACAATTTGAATGAAATCATGGAGACGAAAAAAAAAAAGAAAAATAAAATCCAATATATATTTATAATCATTTGCAGTCAAATGTCAGAGTTTTCGGCTAGCTCTGTCTAATTTTCTCTTTCCTAAAGCTGTACGAATATGTATATATTTTGTTTTATCCAACAATATATTGCACGCTGTTAACAATTTACTTCACTAGTCCAGCAATCTATTGAAGGATCTCTTTATTTTTTACAAGAAATCCAGGGTAACTCTCTGGTTATCATTATTACATTACATTACATCTAAACTAAATCATAATATTTCATTTTAAATCATGAATAAACAAGTATATATGAAAATTCTTATTTATCGATATGTATTATCTAGCTTGTTTGGTAAAAATAGTTTCCGGAAATAGTTCTAACTTTCCGTTATCAATTTACTAGTATCGTATTAAAATCTCTTCCAGGTTTGGAAATTACCAGTTCTAATAGTGATTTAAAATACAGCAATACAAATCCATATGCCATGACTGCAGTTTCGAACCATTCATTAGCCAGGTCAAATAGACACCTTATGTGTAAAACGTACGGCCCTGTACTTGTTCGATTCGAAATGTACTCTCAAAAAATCTTTAACGTCAACAATAGTGTAAGAAACACACTAGTATGTAGTTCAGAACCTGTAGTAAATGGGTGCAACAAATCTAGAATATTTTAATAACCTGAGAGCCCATCAACATTTAACAAAAATCAATGTATGGTTATATCTTATTTATTCATAAATTTTATTTAACTATATGAAGTTTTCAAAATGATAATTCCTTTGCTGCGTATGTGACACGTAGATCATATGGACACGTATTAAACAAATTGCAGAACATTGCATAATGAAAAAGAAATTTCGATGGCAAGAACAACCTCCCTAAAAAGCAAAATAGAAACACACTAAGACAACTTATAATCATGCACTAATTATCAATTACAATATGGTAATGCGAATGTAATTTTAAACAATGAATATAATAAGATAACAAGGGACAATTTCCTGTTTAGTCCATTTTTTGGTAATATCATTTTGACGTGGCTCGGTACTTATACATCCCGGCATTGTTTTGATGTGCTATGGTCATTTTTGTATTCTTGTCTTTCATTTTTGCTAATGTGCTTTGTCTATATGCCATTTTGTTTTTCTTCATTGGCATATTTGATTGTTTTTATAGTGATTAGGATTATAACACAATGTTGACTGCTGTGCCCCTATTTTTGACATTTTTACCTATTATGTCTGTTTGTTTTGTTCACACATTGTTTTCAATATAATGGAATTTTATGCGACTGTCATACAAGTGAGAGGATTAGCTAACTATAAAACAAGGTTTAATCCACCATTTTCTACTTAAGGAATTGCCTGTACCAAGTCAGAAATACGACAGTTTTTTTTCCCACTCTTTTGATGTGTTTGAGCTTTGCCATTTTATAAGGGACTTTCCGTTTTAAATTTTCCTTGGTTCGGTATTTTTGTTATTTTACTTTTTTTTATATTGCAATGTACTTCCAAAATATGTTTTGTTTATAATTTATTTAATTGTAAATTACTGTACAACTATAGTCCGAGAACCAAACATTATCAGAATCCTTAATTTGTCCTTATCTCAAAATATAGTTGCAAATGGAAGACATAAACATTAGGAGGTATAGGATAATTGCATGCCAATGAGACAATGGTACCAACAACAAGAGTATATGAATGTTTGTCTACTCACACTTCGCCTTCTCCAATCAAAATCATCGTAAGATAAATCATTTTCAAATATACAACCAACTTCATTGTCCTCAAAATCGCATGCTATTGACGTTTCTAATCTGTTGTCTGCAATAGAATATGCGACACTCAAAAGTTTTAATAGGGCTAATATACTATATTTAAAGTAAAGTCTTTCTATACAAATTTTCATCATTCCTAAAGCTGGAAAACTATATAAAAATTTCAAACAAGTATCATACCTGTATCATTTTATAACTTTAGTAGAATGTTGATTAGTTGCTCATTGTTGATCTCTTTAGGTCAGGTTGCAAATATTGCATGCATGTGCAGGACTAGTAGTTTAGCAGTAACTTTATTAAAAATTATGAATGATACCGCAAATACCTATAGGATCACACATAAGAATTTTCAGTAACACTTTACTTTTTTTCTTATTCCTGATACTTTTGGTACAAATAAATGGAAATATGTGGTATACCTCAATCATATTTGAACCAAACGGCCAAAAATAAATGACACCAAAACATCAACTATTGGTTCTATTTGATGACCTGTACTCATTATATTGCTTTTTGCGTATTATATTATAAAATTTAATAGACATCAAAATAGAAATTAATTCTGGGTCATGGTGTTAATAAATGCAGAACTCATCTGCCGGCAGGACATTTTGCATAATACTAATTATTTGAGAATAATGGATGCTTTACATTAAAAATAATGTTTTTGTTAGTAAAAATCAAATGTGCCCTTAGACGTAATATATAATAAGAAATATGAATAACGGTAGTTAAAGAACGATTTTATTGATGTTTAGTGCATTATAGGAATTGATGGCTTTTGACTACCATAATATACTGCTACCGTTACCCAAATTTATGTAGTATTTGCAAAAACTTTAAAGTAGGGTACACAGACTGATTATTGCGTGTACCTTACTTTGATAACGCATACTCTTGATAATATTCAACATTTTCTTAATTACCCCCGAAGGTATCCGAAAATATCGTATCATTTGTATGGATAGTGAATTGTCTATGCACCTGATAAGTGTACGTTTGCATACGTTTGTATTAAGCCATCTGGTGAGGCCTTCTACTTTTATGCTCTCTGATGAGGGTTGTTTTGAAATTTTATTAACATCGACCCTCTGAAAAGATTGATATATGAAAGATTATTTGTAAGGCAAAAATTTAGATTAGGTTACTTTCTTTTTCTCTTCAAAAATACAGTTTATATTTCTGGAATGTAAAAGTCACCTTTTACTTGCGTTGATAGTCTATTCAATTCAATGCTGCAAATATGGTTAATTGTATACACTATTATGAACTATGAACTCCGTGTGTTTTATGTCTTTTTTATTACTAAGTAAAATGAAATACATTGAATGAATACGTTTATATAAGAAGTTAAATTTTACCTATTAACTGACATTCGGAGCCAGCAAATCCAGTTTTACAACTGCATTGATAAGTGCCATCCTGGTTGTTTGAACATATCCCAGCATTTTGGCAAGGAAAGCTACCACATGGAGATGAACCTGAAAAAAAGTTCACCTGACTTTAATAGGAGACCACATCAAATTTGAGGATAATTTTTCCTACAAACAAGCATATAGACTTAGTTTCGTATTTCATATGACTATTTAAATACTTTAAGGCAAATTGAGTGATGTGTGAAAGTTAGTCTCTTTCTCGTAGATTTGCTTTGAAACAGAGTGAACTTGCGTTTAGACTATATTGAAAATTGCATTGTTTTATATAAGAGAGTCGAAAGATACCAAAAGGACATTTAAACTCATAAGACGAAAATAAACTGTCAACGCCGTGGCTAAAAAAGAAAATGACAAACAACAGTACACAAAACACAAAATAGAAAAATAAAGCAGATCATGCTCCACATGTGGCACCCGTCGTGTTGATCATGTATGTATTAGAAGGTTATATGTCATTCAACACAACCATTTCACAGTGAATTAACTTAAAAGAGACATTCAGATTTAACCATTGCGTCATGTGTAATACAAATATTTCTCCTCAATAGGCAGTTAAATTTGCAAATTTGAAACGCCAGGCTTGCCAAGCTTCTTATATATATTAAAAATTATTTTCAAGAGTAAAGAAATACCGTATTGAACGAGATATGGTTGAAGAATTTGTTTCCCTTATGATTTTTAGGCTGAATCTATCTTTTTATTTATGATCTGCAAAACGACTGTATTCTTCCTCTGTAACTTCAGGCTTGGTCATATTTTCTTGTGATGTAACAATAACGACATCGGAGGAATGCAAGAACGTAAATCATATAAATCACACTTCACGACTGGAGAAAGTATAAATCGGTTAAACATTTCAAAAAAATATATATATTTGCCTTCGAAACCAACTTTCTTTACAGCACAACATCTCTTCTGTTTAGCTAAAAACAACCAGACAAATGTGTCTGACTTGAGAAGAGCACATTTTTTTTTAAATCATTTTTTTTTAATCTCTCCTCATAGCTCATCATAATTTATCTAAATTGATTTGAACAACAAAGGTGAATGCAGAAAACATTCAATACGTATCAGTTCAGAAAAGCATTATATATTATAATACTGTAACGCAACTTTTTTTCGCCCATACTTTGTTTCACGTGAAGCACTTTTTAGACGACTTCGCGACGATTTAATTTCGCAATTTTCGAATTGTCTTACTGTATTTATACAAAGGAAAAACCAAGTTTTACTATTTCCCGACGATTTATATTCGCCTCATTTTCTACTTTTTTCGGCGAAAGTCCTAAGATAAATCGCTCCTGAGCATGAATTGGTCTACAGTATTTGTTCTACAAAAGATAAATCTACACAGTTTTGAAATATGGTATAGCATATTTTGTATTACAAATTACATAAACATTAAATTGATATTCGACCTTTTACAGATAAATCTTGACGACAGACTTATTGTGTGAAAATGTCTCATAAGGTTCCTATGCAATGCATATTCAATCAATTTTTTTGTTAATGAACGAATCGACATATTGCTAAGAAGTGTTTCAAATGTAAAAGTGATTTATCAAATGCAATACATACACGTGAGTGAACCCTTTGTAGATAAAAAGCGAAGTGAGATATTTATCCTCCTCATTCGGTGTTACAAAGAAAACACGGATCGAATGTTCCTATGTTTCTGTCTTGTCTAGTTACAGTTGTTGATGACTCTTTTCGTCACCATTAAAAATGTTATTTACATGTACTTACAAAGTCCCTTCTGAAGAGTTATTAGGTCAAGACCAATGTCACCTTTACTGGTAGGTCCTCTAATACCTCTTATTGAGATCTGAAATTAGGGTAATACTTTACTAAGAAGAATATATTTGTTAAAACAATAACAACATGATGCTACCATTATACTAAAGAAAGTAATAAAAATAAATCTAATTTATCAACATTCATTCATGTTGCCTTAGTTAGTCAAAGCCTTCGTTCAATCTATACAGCATATCTAGAAGTTGAACCACATAGGATATCCCGGGTTACAGAAATTGGTCCCATTTTGGCCTTCTTTTACTTTAGGAGTCCCAACATTACTATTGAAAATAGAGAGTCCTACAATATAGAGTGTATTTAAAATGCATTGTGTTGTTGTTCTATTATATACTGTTATAATGATTGTTGATATAGTATTGGCTTGTATATAGGTTTTGGGACCCTAAAGTAAAAGAAGGCTTCATTTCACTCTTTTACTGTATGGGTCCCTTTAACAGTACCTTTACATAGGTTGTGGGACCCCTAAAGTAAATTTATGGGTCCCTTTAACATTACCTATACATTAGGTTGTGGGACCCCTAAAGTAAATTTATTGGTCCCTTTAACATTACCTATACATAAGTTGTGGGACCCCTAAAGTAATAGAAGGCATTATTACACTCTTTTACTTTAAAAGGGTTCCATTAAAATTACCTTTAAATAATTCAAATTTGGCCTTTTTAAATTACCTCTTAGCCATCTCAAAACGGAAATCCGATACATGCCAAATGACGTCACAAGCAATTTGTTTATAAATATTCCCGGGATTTTTCAAAACACATGCGCACTAGCTGCGTCCATGAAAGAAAGCGAAAGTGATGTGTTTTTTAAAGTTTGTTTTTTTAATGGGGTGAGAATGTAAAATTTAATACACTTACAACAGGTAAAGGAGTGAATACTTAATATCATTACACAAGAAAAGTACCCACAAATGTAATCCGATCGGCTATTTAGAATTTAAAAATACGCTTCCACTTCCGTTGGCAATGGGAGTGTTAAATCTATAGCATCATTTAGTCAAATTCCAAGTTCTCTGCACATTAAACACTCGCCGATAGAACGTAGGTACCCTGTTGCAAAACAGTAGTGTTTGTGCATATCCAACATGTCCTCAGTTTACAGTACCAGTAATTATTTCCCTTTATCGTGATCGACCCAGTTTTCGGAACCTCAAGATTTGAATTATTGTAAATTCATTCTCGTCTTGCTGAATTTATTTGAAATATTTGAAACTGTATAGAAATATTGTCACCAGGACTTTATCATCCGGCGCTAAAATATATGCCGAGTAAAGACCTCGGTTTGACGGCCGGTACAAGAGGCTCTCAAGAGCCTGAATCGCTTACCTGTATTTCAGAAAAGAAGATTTTTAAATGTTAGCAAACTTGATGAACAACTTGTGTAAAATTGTCTTTAAAGGGCAATAACTCCTTAAAGGGTCAATTGACAATTTTGGTCATATAACTTTTTTGTAGATCTTACTTTGCTGAACATTATTGCTGCTTACAGTTTATATATATCTATAATAATATTCAAAATAATAACAAAAAACTGCAAAATTTTGTTAAAACTACCAATTTGGTGGCAGCAACCCAACAATGGGTTGTTCGATTCGTCTGATAATCTCAGGGCCGATAGATCTTGACCAATTTAACAATTTTACACCATATCACATTTGCTCTAAAAGATTTAGTTTTTAAGATATAAGCCAAAAACTGCATTTGACCCTTATGTTCTATTTTTAGCTATGGCAGCCATGTTTGTTGATGGATACAAACTGCGGATACAATTTATAAACAAGATACCCTAAGGAACATTTAGTTCAAGTTTGAAGGTAATTGGCCCAGTAGTTTCAGAGGAGAACGCAGGTAGGTTAATGCCGGATTTTATTAATTTTCTAGGCATCCCCCTTTTTTATTTATTTTTTATTTTGAAAGAAAAATAACTGATTCCAGATTTGGCTATGTGGTACACATTGGTGATACGTCTACCAAGAAAATATCTTCTGCTGTCACACGTGGTGTCTAAGTCGTCACGTGATTTTGCGATATGACTGATTTCCCATATGATTTAGCCTGTAGAACAAGTTCCCATACTAAAAATGTCGCCATGAAATTTCACTGTATGGTAAAAGATACCTTTTACTCCATAAAAACTGCTGATCGCTCACTGATAAATGTTTCCCTTTATTTTAACAACATTAAAACCAGGAATTCACGTCCGTTGTTATGAATTTTATCATAAAAAATACCTCTACTTTCAATTTAACCAAAAATTTATACAAGCGTTCAGCAATTTTCAATAAGCTGACTAATTCTTCTATAAACAACTCAAAGGATTTGAAATAATATTGCCGTTGGTAACTTGTTCTACTCGTTTGTTTGTTGTCCGCATATACCGTCTGAAATGACGCCCATTGCATAAACGCTTTACTGATTGCGGAAGGGAGGTAATCGAGGTAAAACATTCCAAAGTTGTGTTTACGGGAATTTCATAAATGAAAGATAAAAACATTCTTGCGCTGTTGTTTCTGATTATATCATGCACGCATATTTAGAAAATCACGCATATATGGCAATCAATAACATTCGTTAATTATTAAAAAATACCATGCCCTTAAATAAGTACGTTTTGAAAAAAAGGGGGTGGGTGTTTCATCTTCAATATTTCACACACAATGTGAGATCTTCAATAATCCACACACAATGTGAGATCTTCAATATTTCACACACAATGTGAGATCTTCAATATTTCACACACAATGTGAGCATTCTTTCTTGAATATACAATTTAAAGGATTTGTATGGGTTATGCATAGTTTTAAATTTGTGTCATACTGTTGAGATACCATTCTGATGTGTTTTATAGTTTAAAATGTCAAAAAGTATTAAAGTCTATATGTAGAAGGTGTTGATCAATTCCTTTCTTACTGACTTAAAAAAAGAAGCTATTTGAAGGGTCCTCAATTATCAATTTCCTGGTGAAGTCTTAAAATCTATAACAATAATAATAAATATTGTGAACATTATGAATGAATTTCCTTGTAAAAACCCAGTCATTCTGCAAATGAAGGGTTTATTAAAATCAGAGACATTATTAGTCATATAATACATGATATTACTCTCTTAAAATGTGTAAGTTGATCTCAAGAAATCAAATCTGCTGTGAGTAATATGTACCATTCATTATCCCCTGTAACTGCTGAATAAGAGACAGTGGTAAAGCCCAGAAAATATTAAAAATTTTATTTCTTTAACTGCTGAATCCATTTGTCCAAGTTTAAAACTTACTTAACTTCTAACACTAAATAAAAAAAGTACATCAAGTATTAGTAGTTAGCCCAAAAACTTTAGAAGGATGATAAAAGAAAACTAATAGCATACAATATTAAAGAGAATTTCTAAATCATTTATTTATCTTTATATACATGTACATAAATGTGTACTTTCACTAAAAACTTGCATGTTTCATAATACTAATTGTATTATGATGTTTATGTATCTTACCAGACAAGGGTAAATACATAATGTCTATACAATGATTTGTAATAAAGCTTTTGATTTTTCAATTCATAATAAAGTATAAATGAATGGTAGATAGTAAATGTCTATTTAAATGTTTTATAAAGATGTCTGATGAATCTTCATATATTTCTGATCTAAATAATGCCTCACACTTTATTTTGAAAATATCAAATCCTGCTACACTAATTTTTTTCATTCAAAAAATCCAAATCACATTCAAACCTTTGAAATGTCTCTGTCTTACATGTTCCAGAATCAAATTAGTTGTTGGTTCCTTGTTTGATATCCATTTGTTGTAATACTAAACATTGTTTGCCTTCAATGTTTTTCAACTGGTTAATTTTAAATTCACTTTTTTGTATGCCACAAATCAGCTTTACACATTGTTATTTAAAGCTATCAGTCTGTTTTGACATCTTAGTAATAAATGTCATAAATAGTCATAAACATTTCATTTCTCACAGATTTTAAATCATCACAATATTATAACATGTTTTATCTGACAATTTCCTTTTGTATGTAAATCCCAAAAGAAACAAGTACACAGTATTTTCCTCTGATTATATTTTTTATTTCTCTGTCTTCTATGTTCCAGAAACAGTATTGTTCAACTTATTGATATTCATTTGTTGTCATACTGAAAATTGCATTATTCCTCAATTTTCCTTTAATTCAGATGTAACATGTCATGAATTATCTTATACACAGCTCAGTAATCAGTCTTCTTTGATATATATCAAAAACTTATTCTCACATATATATTTTCTATCATTTCTCTTTTCATGCATAGATCCAGAATCATCTCTGTAGTTTTTATATGATACACAATTTCCTTTTGCTGCATTTTCAAAATAAAGGAAGTGCAGTCTTTTTCTCTCACAGTTTCATTGTGTGGTATAAAATCATTGCTTACAAGTCACCAAAGTGCTAAAAATAGAATTGTAAACAATATTTGGATAAAATATACTTGATATATGAGGGTGTGGAGTTTACATTATAGAGAATAATGGACCAAAACATTTATAATAAGAATAGAGAATAATGAGGTGCTAAAATATAAAGAATAGGGAATAATGGGCAAAATGTATAAATATTAGAGAGAAATGGCCTAAAAAATTAAAGAATACAGAAATGAAGGACCCCCATCCAGACCCTCATATATGATTTGATACAAAATAGTAAGTTTAATTCTATCTTCCTATAAAATAGCATAACAGTTAACTTGGATGTAACCTTTTAGTTAAAAATACATTTCCAAATTAAAAAGTTTCTTTAAAATAACAATAAATATTATATAGTTTAAACTACATAATACTAAAAATGATACTTTCTGAGACATTATCACTGATTAACCAATATACTTATTTATATTACTTCATCTGCACTGACTGAATGAAACTGAGGGAAGCAGTTATGTACACACAAAACAATATAATAATATCAATGCTTATATTTTGGAGACCTCTTGTTTGGCATTGTGGAAACTATGTTTTCTCTGGGTATTAGAAATTTTATTCTAATGTGTAGTAATAATCTTTCTACAAAAGAAGGAGATAACTTCACAATCATAACTGGAAATTTTCAAGCCCATAACACTCTAAATAGTTGAAAAGTGTCTTTTGATAAACAAAAGTGTCCTCCTAATCTGTACTAGACATCATAGTTACAACAGACAGAACTCATGTCAATTTTGATAGTTAATCAATATAATAATAATATGTTTATATCATCTCTTTAAAGTGCAATAAATCAATAAATCAAATTTGTTCTATGTATGAACACAAAAAGTGATGAAATAAAATGTTAATATGAGATTTTAAAACATGAATGAAATTAATATTGTGTTTGAAAAATGGTCACATCATACTAAATGATTATAAAAGCTAGTTATAATGATAATTTACTAAATTTAGACAAGCTATTGGCATGACTGCACACACTGTGCCATGATGCAGTTAAAAAATGCACATTTTTTACTATGCTCTCTTTTTCTTTCTTTGACCCCCTTCTTTGTATTTGTAATATGTAAATGATTATACAAATCAAATACCTAAGAGAAAATGGGACATAATCATGATGCTTAAAGAGTAATTTGAAGATTTATGCTCAAAATATATGGAAGTGTTTTCCTCCATAATAATATGATCTAATATGACCATGGCATGTCAGTCTGACAGCACTTTTTCATAAGCACCCACATTATTTTAACACTAGTAAAGTAATTTTGACTTGCCTAAAATTATACTTTCTATAAACACTGCCTTTCGTCATTGCCGTTTTTTAAATAGCCAGAAAAACGCCAAATGTGAAAATTAACACCCCTTTTTAAAGAAAGGTACATTTTGATCTAGATGTATCAATGAAATGAAATATACGGCCTTTGGCAGTAAAAGAATATGATAATTTGAAACAAACTTACCTCAAAATAATAGCAATATCCATCTTTGAAACGTGTGTTTACGTGATAAGACACTCATGACAAGGTGCCCGATCAGCTGATGATCGCGAAGTATGACGTGATGTGCAAGCCCAACCTTGACGTTGATGGAACGATCTAGCCAATCAGATTCCGCGTAGTTTGGTAAATGACGTCAGATTTAGATTTCGATGCAAACACCGATATTAAGTGCCAGTTTTTTTTTAAAGTACATTAACCTACCTGCGAAGATTTTTAAATGTTAGCAAACTTGATGAACAAATTGTGTAAAATTGTCTTTAAAGGGCAATAACTCCTTAAGGGGTCAATTGACAATTATGGTCATATCAACTTTTTTGTAGATCTTACTTTGCTGAACATTATTGCTGCTTACAGTTTATATATATCTATAATAATATTCAAAATAATAACAAAAAAATGCAAAATTTTATTAAAACTACCAATTCGGTGGCAGCAACCCAACGATGGGTAGTTCGATTCGTCTGAAAATTTCAGAGCTGATAGATCTTGACCAATTGAACAATTTTAACACATGACAGATTTGCTCTAAAAGATTTAGTTTTTGAGATATAAGCCAAAAACTGCATTTGACCCCTATGTTCTATTTTTAGCCATGGCGGCCATGTTTGTCGATGGATCAAAACTTCGGATACAAGTTATAAACTAGATACCCTAAAGAATATTTAGTTAAAGTTTGAAGGTAATTGGCTTTGTAGTTTCAGAGGAGAAGATTTTTAAATGTTAGCAAACTTGATGAACAAATTGTGTAAAATTGTCTTTAAAGGGCAATAACTCCTTAAGGGGTCAATTGACAAGTATGGTCATATTAAATTTTTTGTAGATCTTACTTTGCTGAACATTATTGCTGCTTACAGTTTATATATATCTATAATAATATTCAAAATAATAACAAAAAACTGCAAAATTTTGTTAAAACTACCAATTCGGTGGCAGCAACCCAACAATGGGTTGTTCGATTCGTCTGAAAATTTCAGAGCTGATAGATCTTGACCAATTGAACAATTTTACCACATGTCAGATTTGCTCTAAATGATTTAGTTTTTGAGATATAAGCCAAAAACTGCATTTGACCCCTATGTTCTATTTTTAGCCATGGCGGCCATGTTTGTCGATGGATCAAAACTTCGGATACAATTTATAAACAAGATACCCTAAGGAACATTTAGTTAAAGTTTGAAGGTATTTGGCCAAGTAGTTTCAGAGGAGAAGATTTTTTAAATAGTTTACGACGACAGACGACGACGACAACCGACGACAGACGACAGACGACGACGACAGACGACGGACGACGACGGACGCCAAGTGATGGCATAAGCTCACATGGGGCCCTTCGGGCCCCGGTGAGCTAATAAATATTCAATCACGTCTGGTCGCAATAAGGACGGTAGATCCGACGTATTGTGAATGATAGTGCCACGCTACCTGCACGTTAAAGAACACTCGCAACAATTCTTTGTGGGATCTTCAGATAACCTGCTTGAAGGGAAAATCCCTGTCCCTATCCAGTATACTCTCTTTTTCGAGTAGGAGTCGAAATTCCGGGAACTATCCCGATCGACTAACTTTGCATCACCAACCCAATTCCATTTGGTCTGAGTATGAATGAATTATTTCCTACTTACCGTACATACTTTTTCCTATTACGTGCATAACATAATTATGATAATTTTGATGGGAAATTTGACATAGTATGACCGATCTTAATGTTTTTTTTAGAATATGGTCGTTTCCTTTTAATATTAATTTTAAAGACGGTAGAAATGTAACATTGAATAAGAAACACCTACTACTGCATCTGATAATTGTGGTATCTGAACTATGCTTCGGTGCCACTGTTCACCTTGGTTTCCAGTCCAAATTTCAATTTGATTATCAGTGGTTCCTCTTTCACCTGCTTTTATAACCAAGGAACCAGGTTCACTATACATATGAAAATGATATTGCATACAAAGTGGTGAATCTGAAAAAAAAGTTGGGTCAACAGTTTGAGTATGAAAGTATTCACAATGATAAAACATATCTTAAAACCAATCTTTCTTTTAATTCAATAGTGGTTTTTGTTGTCAAGATTCAGTTCATATACATTTTGTTAAGAAGTTATTGCGAGATTGTTCGTCTTCTACACTTTTAATATATATAATGTTTTATATTTTGGTTTTCTTTCTCGCAAAAATCCATTGTTTTGTTTAAAAATTATGTTCTTTATATATTGTATGCCGATAATTTCATCTACATAAGTATTTTTTTACTTTATTTAAGCCATATATAAGCATCAGCTGTAATAAATGATCCTTCTGATAAATTCTGTAATTTTTTTTTTTAATTTAAACCTGGTAGTTTGAATGTTGAAGTAGTCAGTGTGGCCACATCATTCGGTTGCCTAGGCGATGATGCTTCAGTGAATGCGAAGTATTCTCTAGAATATGCCGTATCAGGGCCTGTACTTGAGCTGGATGTTGCTACCTGAAAATGAAAGAAAAACTCATGAATTGATTTTGAAATGAAGTAGGTTTTATCTAAAGAAGTATGATTGAAAATTTTGTCCCTGCAATTTCCAATCATACCACAACTCCTTATTTTTATATTGTACATGTGTATAACTGTAGCATTTCAGTTTCAGGTATAAATTCGTTTGGTTAGCCACATGTTTTTTTATAAACATTTAAGTCATTTTCTAAGTTAAAATATTGAAGATTTAAAACAAACATACACTATATCACCCTAATGATCTCGGTTTTCTGTCCCTGCAATTTGTAATAGAGTATACAAATCTTACATTTGTGAATGTCCAGTCAAAATCATCTCCAGTTGGGGTATTAGTAAATACACATTCATTTTCACCTGGTGTAAATCCACAGGTAAAGGTTGTTCCTGTCGTTACGTCTACAATTATATAATGTATTGCAATATGTAAAACAAAAATGTTTAGAATAGACTTCATAGTAATTAAAAAACTGAAATTGTATGACATTTGAAAGAAACAAATCGTACAGGCAAATTTGTGTTCACGTTGTGATGTCTGTAACAAGCTTAGTGATCGAATTAATACTACGTATTTAATTTGTATCATAAGTAAATACGTTTTGTTTGTAATTGTTCAGGATTATCTAACTATTTGTAATTTTATATATCTAATAATTTTAGAGTAAACTGAACACAGACAATCTGCTAAGGATTAATGCATTCAACGAAACAGGCTCATCCTGTATACGCAACTAAATTCCCTTTTTGAATTTTAATTGTTGTTTGATATTCTCATTTCGACACTGAATCCGGTAAGATGCTAAAATGTCTTGACAATCTATTTACATTAGATTATTAGTTCATACTTAAATATGATACCGACGCTTCCAAATTTTATTTTTGTACCACTGAATTTTTTTTTCGAACAAGACAAAATGGCCGACAATTTGACTAACAAATGTTTTCCTTTTCAAATGATCAGGTACGCAAATTCATTTTGACCATTACATGATCAAAGCTTAATTAAATATTTTAAAATTTTCACTTAATGTTTTCTTAAATCTAAACTCTTAATATGTCATTGCATTTAGTAAAGCAGTTTCTCTGGATTATTTAACGCTGTAGTACACACACGTTTTGAACATACCAAAATAATATTTATAAACTACAAAATATTTCAAACTTCATACCTTTTAGTTGGCATGTATCCCCTACCCATCCAGAGGTACATGTACAGGTAAACGTATTATCATTGTAGTTGTTGGAACACTGTCCGCCATTTGAACAGGGTGATTGCACACAATGATCTACATTTGAACCTGTAAAAATTATTTGTATCAATAAATAAAAATTTTCAATTTAGTACGAAATATATAACTGTTCAAACAAATACATGAAATAGTATATGTTGCATACAAGAAATAACTTGCCTACTTTCAGGATATCCTTCTACCACTCCTAATTGAGATAGTAATTTCAAGCAAAAAGCTTTAAATAAGACAACCTGATATGATCCTTTGCATCTAATATCAGTACTGTTTATGCAAAATGTAAACTGGCAGATAAATTGCAGGAAAATACGAATATTGTTCTATTTATATGTGCAGTTATAAAATTCGGAAGAATTTTAAAATGAGAAATATACCGCTAATTGTATTACCAGTTACATTGTAAATGTTTTTTCTTTATAATAAGCATGCTTTATTTATATAGTTGAGTAGAAATTGATATCCATATGATTGATTTGAATGATTGAACACAAATTAAATAAATACTCTACAAAAACATTTGAAGGCTGAGATTTGAAAAATCAAAAGGATTTGATTGGTACGTGATCTGCAGTACAGTGTTGAAAGAAATAGCCTGCAAAGTGCCTTGCAGCTTGCATGGAGAATTAATGTAAACGATGTTATATGGTATCTTTTATTTACTTTTTAAATATAATTCCTCTACCACTACTTAACCGTATATTTTGTTCTTTACTTTTCTTTTATTAAATTCGAATATGCCATATCTCTATCAAAATATGTCTTGTATATGTTTTCACATTGTCTATAGAATTCAAAATATTGTATATCACTCCAAGAGATTTATGTGTTCATTTCGTACCTTCAAGACTCTGATTCATATCGTTAAGAATGTCTGTAAATTTCAAAACTGTACAACTGACAATTGTTACTTTTGGCAACAATATAAGAAGATACAAAATGAATAACAGCTTACATGTCTAAAAAAGCGGTAACCAACGTGGAATCAAGAAAAAGACAAGCAACAGAAACAGAACACAGAATAGAAAACAAACCCTAACTAATCAACACATAACAGGAAGTAAAAAGATGAATTCCGAAGGGTAAGGACGTTTATCGTCATATGATGCAACAGTTGTATTTCAGTTATCAATCCGACAACTTTAAGTAACAGTCTTTTTTACAATATGCCGTACAACAAAAATCCCCTTCACTGCAATACTACATTTTTTTTAATTTCATATGCTATGCAAAGTAAACCTCTGAATTTCAAGTGAAAAGAAGAGTTGGTCTAACTAAAAAAACAACGAATAAACAATGTGACAAGACTGTGCAGATAAATAATTTTAATTGGAAATGGGGATATTATAATTCAATTTATTATTAATCAAGGTATGAAATTGCAGGGCAGTGATTGCATTGCAATAATTTCGTATTTAGTACTATGTATATGCGTAAACATCTCCTGCGCTTCTATATCATAACACAATGTTGTTCATAGTGACCAATCAGTATGCAGCGTTCACCCTTTGATATATCTGGCATTTCATGTCAACCAATAAAGAGCATGTATTCAAATTTCCTGGCTTAGACATGAGCCAATCAGATAATTAAAGTTAACATCGTCTAGCAGCATCCGCAGTTTTATCATTCAAAATACAACTTGAAGCAGTTAACATTGTGTTTAAAAGTAAAGCGAAAGATTTTTATTCCTACCCACTAAAACTCATATGTGTATTGTTGGCGGGTAGGCTGAAAAGAGGAAATGTGAAAACACCATGAGCAAGAGGGGAAGGGTGGGTCCCTATTTTCATAACATAAGATTAATATGATATATATATATCTATATGTACCACATGTGCCTGGTATTAACTTTATGTCGTCTAAGGCGATGTCAGATTTAGAGCTGCTGCCACGAATTCCTTCAAAAATAACCTAAAATATAATTATATAATAGGTGTTAAGAAATTATAATTTCATATGAAAAGTGAATCTCGTGAGATATAAAGGGCAAAAAAAAAGGAATAAATAAAAAATTAAGACAATTCAAACAATCAGTAGAACGATTATATCACTAAAGCGGAATTCGCTTCTTTCGGGGTGACCAATTTGCAATTTCAAAATCTAAAGCATTATGGGCATTTATTTTAACGCGTACACAAAACGATTTGATTGGTTAAACACGTCTTAAACAATGGAAACTTAACCAATGTCGGGAACGTTATTTTCATTTGAGATACAAAATATAAAATTTTCCATAATCGTTTAGATTTTAAAACGGTGAATTAACGATTTATGTGATTGTAATTACGCAAAGACACATTTAAGATAACTAAATTATGATTAATATGAATAATGACACATTTAACATCGATTTGTTTTCGCTTGATCTATACAACTGTTAGTCCTTGGGAGTATCAATCGTGCAGTTATGAACTTTTTTGGCATTTGTCGTAATTCATTTCGTAAGTGTTTTTATAAATTCGGAGCTAACAAATAAAGTCAGTTTACACAAAAAAGGAATTCAATTACCTGAATTAAAGTTAACCATAGGTGATTGTAGCTATTCTGCGCATATTCTATAGATGCCCGTGCATTTTTCTAAACTAAAACACATCTTTGGATATTGGCGTTTCTAATGAACGTCAATTCGGATGCACCAAAAAGACGCGTCTTTTTTTAAGCACTAAATCTAGATACAGACAATATATTTTTAGAAATATCTTAAAGAATTCTGACTTAATAGGGCGACAAAGGTCTTGCTAGGTAAGTTGTTTTTTCTCCCTTAAACTTAAAAACATGTGTTGCCTTAAATCAACTTAAATCAACATACCTTCAAATCATCCATTGCTGGAATGAAGATGGCTGATTCATTCCATTGGTTTCCTTGATCACCAGACATTGTAAATATCTGAATTCGTGTTCCCTGTGCATTTTCGGTATATACATTTAAGATACCCATAGTACTTCCGTACATATGATACCAAAAACGAAGACATCTATCTACCCCTGTAACATGAACAAATATATTACTGATTTATGTTATTTATTTAATTTTCATCAATGAGTTCTTGCGATATTGTCAATTCTGTATTGGAAATTGGTGTATGTCTAAGGTTTCATCAATTGCTGTTTCATGCATATACATACGATCTTGAATACAGGACATATCGTATCGGTTACTAAAATTATGTGTCATAACTGATTTTTTTTACTTTACTATTAGTTTTAGTATCTAAATGAGTATTTGTTGACAGCAAACGTAACCGAGGATTACTCATTGTTAAGTGTTAAATATGAAAGATACGACTTTGTTGGATTGATTGGCTCAGTATATTATTGATATTTATTGTCTGTTTTTGTTTTGTTATCACAAATAAACTAAACTGAAAACTCCGTTTTTAAAGTGTTTTTCCCGTTGATTTTATTTACATGTCTTTCAATGGAAGTTCAATTACTACCAATGATTAAGAAGAAAGTTAATTTGAAAAAAAAATAAGCTGAAATGTGAGCTATTGGTCACACATGATACCCGCGCTATAAGTATTTGGTAAACAGGAAGTTAATAGTCAATGGATGTGAAAAAAAAATAACACGGTATAGCATGCTGACATAAAGCTTGATCCTAAATTATAGAAAACCATGATTTGCAGTTCCTGAGAAAAATGCGACGACAACTTCATACATGCTCATTACGTGTAAAAAATACTAGTATTATAAGTATTCAGTCAATAAAAAGATATTAAACATTGAATATAAAAATGCATTACACAGTATATCATGCTAATATGCAGCTTTATACAAAATTTCAAGAAGCTTTGATTTGTAGTTCCTGAGAAATTGCGACCATCATTTCATGGGACACACGGACGGAGTGACAGATGCAAACCAGTATACCCCTCCTATTGAAACGGGTTACAATAGATTCTTTTTTTTTTACAAGTTAGTCAATTACGGATAATAAAACTGACAATAAAGTTTGGAAAAGGCAGATTGTGTACAAGTAAAACTTATGTAGTATCGATATCAGTCGTTCTTCCTCAAAACTTTGGAGGAGTTTTTGTGTAAGAAGCATACCCCTGCTAATTTTGTTCGTATAGTAAAAACATGCACGAAAGTAACGTAGCAATTAAGATATGTCAACGCCATGAAATGTTAGACATAGCAGATTCTTTATGTTCACAAATCATGTGTATTTCATGGGATCTATACTAGTGTGCGTGTGTACTGTGTACTGACAAAGGTAGAGAATGACTCACATAATTATGTAAATATATACTGAACATAGCCGTTTCAAATGCTGATACACTCTTGTAATACATACTTGGTAAAGACATTTTTGTGACCATAATAGCTTTATCATCGTCTTGTCTTGGACTTGATGACTCAATAAACATAAAAACGGTTCCAACCTTGGCCGCCTCAGGACCGGTACTAGATGTAGGAGTTCCTTCCTGTTTGAAATAGGGATTAAAAAAAAAATCAAACATCACACTAACCTAGATAGATGTATAATTCTTAAAACACACTTAGTCTACTAACTAGCTATTTTGAATATTTTGACCATTTACAGATAATTCAAATATAGCAATGTATACTATAAAGACCACACATGTTGGATGCATTTCCAAAAGAATATTTCCTCTATTCCGTCTCTCCATTAAATACAAAAGTAATAATCGTTAACATCACTATTGCATTTCAGTTTCCCTTCAATGTTTCGTTCCCTTGATATCATTGGATAATATGAGACAAAGGAATCGCCTTTTTTCTTGACGCTTAATTGTAAATTGTCTACAACAAATATAAATCCTGTACCAAAGGAACAAAGCAACCATCTATTGCATTTAACCAGGACCTGTATTAGAGTTAAGATAAGCTTAATATTCATAAAAAAAAAAAAACATTTGGTGAGGTGACAATCGGTAAATTTTATATATTCTCGAATAATTTCATTTTAAACAACTGTTTAAAAGTTACATTTGTTCCTAATTTGTTTCATTCATTAAACATATGTAAAGAGAAACGAAATATTCATACTTTATTGATTGTAATCTGACCGTATATAGAATATATGCACTGATGTAAAATCTTGTAAAAAACGTTTTGTTTGCAAACAATGTTAGTACCGAAGAATAGTATATGTTTAAACACATTCAATCAGTGGAAAGGTCAACACAGATCTTAAATATAAAAGATAATATATTTTTGGTACATCGTATTTAATTCACAATGGACGAATAGCTGTGTCAGTTATTAACTTAAAATCATGTTTAATTTCTATGGGAAAAATGTTTTCCCAGGCGGGAGTTTGTTTGTGATAAGGCATGTACTTTGGTTGTTAATTCAAGAAGTGGGTACCTCTGTTGAAAACTAACCATCTTCTATCGCATGAGAAAAAGATAAGGAATCTTCGCAAATATTTTTTTTCGTATTGTACCTTGTGTTTAAAAAAAACATGGCCTATACGTTTTAAGAGAAAACAATTGAGTGCTAAGAATTCAGCATCAATAATTGCTTACAATGTGGATGTTTTTACAATAAGGACTATGATTAAAGCACTAGATATATCCCTGTGCCGTTAAATCAGGTAGTATTACATGTATTAACAGTGTCAGAGAAGTAGCAGAAAATGAAAGGTTTTAGTGTTCAATGAGAACATGTGTTGCATTATTGCTGACATGGATGCCAGTACAAAATGTGGATTTTGGTACAAGCTTGCATTAAATTATAAGAATTCAAGAAATTTCACAGGCGATCATATTTTTGTTATTGTTTTTTTTTTTTTGGGGGGGGGGTAAAATGGCTTTCTATGAATAATTCATGCCTTATACATATGAAATACGCCTTTTTGTTTGGAATATGATGAAAATACGAAAAAAAAATGGACGATAACGAGCGCAAATTGACGACAACGGCTGGTAAAAGTTTGAAATAGTTGTCATCACACGTCATGTATTATTCAACATATTTAAGAAAAACTCTAAATAGAATTTCGCTACGACGACTTTATGTGTTTCATCCTTTTAAGCAGACGTTTTGCTTCTACAAACTACCACACCCCCTCCAGAACTCTAAACACTACACTAAAAAAGCTTTAAACGTTTATGATATACTTACGCTTGTGAATATCCAATCAAAGTCATCAGTCTGTGTCTCCTGCTCTAACACACAATACTCATTAGCTTCTCCATTACAACCTATTGTTCCATATTCTACAAAATTAATGTGGTAATTCAGTTTTGATGTCTGTGTTGCTTTTTCACTGTCTAAACAGGAGAAATGATCAACTTGAGTTTATTGCTTTGCGTTTCATCATGCAACACTCATATTTCTATTTCTAAATGAAGATGGTAAATTTGAAAATCAAATCACTAATAAAAATATATGCAAAATATTCTAGGACACGGAATGAAACTGGGTATTTTAACACTCAGTAAGGGTCGATGTTTCCTTTGTTATAGTAAAAGACTTTTATGATTCCATATTTGCTGCAATAATTAATTTATAGATAGATTTTTGAAACTTTTTGCAGTTGGAATAGAAAAGAGGCGACAATCAAAATCAAAAGTCGAAGACAACACATCCGGTTATACCACAATAAATGTACTGATGAAAATTTGTTTAGTCTTTTAACAAGCCGTTCTTAAAATTTCTGCCTCAAAACATTTAATAACAATTTTTCAAGACTGTTTTATGTCAAATGATTCGTCTCCTGAACATTTTTCATACCATATACACCATGTACACTTTTATCTTAACTATAAAACTACAAAAAACGATTGCAAGTCAATTGATTTATATCTTTGTTATATACATCATGATGAAAGAGTTAATAAATACATAAAGTAATTGATAAAATGAAAGAAAACTAAAACGAACTTGTCAACAGAAAGGAAAGCAAATGTTTTTCATAATGCGAATGACAAAACGTATCTTTTATAGACAACTCTCCTTATATTCAAGTGAAATAATTATAACTGGAAATACATAATAGAAAAGAGCAATGTACTGTAGAGAAACAATACTTTACCTGTTAGTACATCACAATTGGGTCCTGTAAATCCTTGATCACATGAGCATGTATATGTCATACTATTGAAATCACTATTACACGTTCCAAATGCACAGGGATTTTCATCATCTCTGCATCCTAAGATGAAATAAACGTATACTACTCTAACAAGAATTTATATGATTCACGTTACAACATTCACTTTAGTTTACTATTCCTTGCAAAGAGTTGATAAAATTAACGTCGTAAAGGTACACCTTCTACGACTATCCAACGGAAAGTACAGTTGTCGCAAGTTTTTATATACTATCGAATTATGAACGCACATTGATGCCGTTTTTTAAATTTTAACTGCACGCCGAAGGAATAACTTATAACTCTATTTGCTATATAGAATAAGTATTGTAAATCCATTAACATAGAAGTAAACGATTTGTATAAGTCATATTTTAGCCTCAGCGTCGGTAAAAATGCACCACCTACACTGGGAAAGACTTTAATGCCCATAAATTTAGCAATTGGACAATAACTGTCATATTCCAGACTTAGCCCAGATTATCTCGAAACAGAAACAGTAGATTATTGCAAAAAATGGTTCCATGTTCAGACACCACTGATTTTTATAGCAAATCTGCCACAAAATGAAAAATTACCTACAATTAAATATCAGTTGTCTAGGAACACACGTGTAAACTTGAACTCAATGATGTAGGAAAAAGATTATAGTCTAAAGAACTGTAAATATGTTGTCCTTCTACAATAACCATTAAAACAAAAAGCACTTTAACATGACATGAAGTCTTTGTTTATTACAATTAAACATAGCTGTCAGAAGTCAGATTTTCTGACTAGCATATCTTTAATCCCGTAAAGATTCTCTTATACAACAATCAGCATGTATCATTTTGCGAAATTAGTTTTAGCTAACATATGAATTACTTTATGTTGATATGTTTGAGAAAAAATTGAATTCTATTCGGTGTACAAGCAAACATTTTGACAAAAGTGATATTTCAAGATTTCATTGTCTCAATGTTGAAATTAAAACAGTTTTGAATCTCTTAATTTGCAAATAGAAGCAATAGCTAGTGCACATCAGATCTTACTTGCTTGATGCACCACAAGGTGGCAGTAATGAAAATATCAACAACATGAAGTATTATTCTTTGTTAAATTGAATTCTCCAGGTTCCCTTTATTTACTTAAAGAAACACTTGTAAATCGTTTACCAAATTACTTATGACACTTCTTAACTTTCGATAACTTAATGTCACAATTGTAAATAACATACTTGGCATTGCTAGAATCTTAAAGAGGAACTTTCAAACATTTTACATAATCCATGCAATGGGGACATTTCATTTGATTGAAAACACTTAGGTTGTTGGATATCTGCAATGGGTGTTTATCTAAATCGGAGAGATATAATATAGGAGGAAACTGACGTATAACATTTTAGTTTGTTGGGTTATTGATGCATTGGTATTATCCAATCTTTTATTCAAATCTAGAGAATACAATGTTTGTTTATCATACTTTTCGTCGATTTTTAAGTGATACAGGTAAAAAACCATTACGGAATCAGAGCTTATACTATCTAGATTTGGCAAAGTTTGTATTGCCAGTATATCTTTACAATTTATTTATATGATGTATAAACATATACTACATATTAATGCTTACTATCGGTTCTTCATTTTCATTTTGCCGTATAAAGATTTAAATAATTGATGTTGATTAACAAAAACTTAACATAATAGACAGTATCTACAATAAAACCTTGTAAATACTCACCACAAACAGTCCATGGTCTTAACCATACATCATCCAATGCCATGTCAGATTTACTCCCTGATCCCATCACAGCTTCAAATATTACCTTAAATTATATTAACAGGACACAAAATGAGTAAAATATTACAAACTGGTTATCAGTTGCTGTCATTTAAACTCATCCTCAGTTTTATTTCATATTTCTTTTGCTCATTTTTAAGTTAACTGTTTCGGGGACCATTTTACACTTTCCTATTTAAATATATTATTTTCTTGTGGCGATTGCATTTGTTTACTAATGGTTTTTGATTAATCCCTTACTATACACTAGTAAGCCAATTTTGAATTGAACATCTCTTAAAAGACTTAACAATTTATCATCTGTACTATTATTGTCTGTTTGTTTTTTTTATTTTTGGCCATTGCGTTGTCAGTTTGTTTTCGATCTATGAGTTTGACTGTCCCTCTGGTATCTTTCGTCCCTCTTGTTTAACGTCATGCTCAGTGTTTCGGTACATATTCAGACTTATCCATTGAGGTCAATTCAGTACTGTTCAGACCATTCTCTTGCAGTCAATTAAGGTCTGTTCAGTCTATGGTCAGACTGTCAAGGTGTTTATCTGTACAAGGCACGCTTACTCGTCTGAAAAAGTACTGAACATACTGAATTATCCGAAACTCTTAACAAGACTTAGCGTTTTTGCTATTTTCAGTTGATGTCAATTTTCATCAAATTATTTTCGAAAACATCTGTATCTGAGTACTATTAAAAAACATTAATATAAAGGATATTAATAATTCAGATTTTCTTGATTATCATTTTTTTAATTTGTTTGTTACACTTTAGAAAGGCATTTGACATAAATAACCTTAACCTGTCATAGGTACCTTTAGTCGTGCAAATACTGCTAACCTTTTGGCTGCGAGGACAGATTTTTTTTTTTTTGTGTGCATTTAAAGAAGCTCGGTATTATGGGTTTTATTTTGTAGTGGTGTGTGCTTTTTTTTCGGTTTTTTGTTTGTTTTTGTTTTTTGTTTTTTTTTTTTGACATGGTTATGGCTGTCCTTATTCGATTTGATAATGGATTGTCACATTTGTTGCATGTGATATGTCTTTGTTTGTTTTGTTTTGTTCACTGTTATTTGTCTGTTTGTATTCTTCTTTTTTGCCAGTGCCTGGTCAGTTTATTTTCGACTTATGAGCTTGAATGTCCCTTTGGTATCTTTCCTGTCTCGTTTCCTTACTTTTTTTACAAATATTCATGTAAAACCCGCACTTTAATAAAAAATTAAAGAACAATGACACTTTGATTTTGATGCGATGCCAGTTTTATAAAGAATTCTATGTTCTATATAATAAAATACGATAAATTGCGCTGCTATATACAATTTGAAATGTATTAATTACTTTTTATGTACTATATGTATGTTAAAAGCATGGCCTGGTCTGATATATTTTTCTATTTTAACTGTGTCTCACTGATTTCTGTATATGTTTATTATGCGCGCAGAACTTACAATTGAAATTGAAATCAACATAAAACTATATTACTATTGACGGTCTTCCAATTCCATGGAACAAGATGTCATTACATAATGAAAAAGTATAATAGAAGTACCGAACTTCAAGGTAAATTCAAAAAGGGGAAGTCCATAAAAATTGATAAAATCAAAAGTTATACTCTTTCAACCAATGGAACGAATGAAAAACAACTGTCATTTTCCTGACTTGGTACAGGCATTTACCGAAGAAAATGGTTGGTTAATCCTGGTTTTGTTGATAGCTAAAACTCCCAATTGTATGACATGTAAGACAAAAATTCTCTTTAGGTTCATATGAATGCACATAAACAGTAAAAAATAATACATGTGGTACCTAATTGGAAAAGCCCCCTCCATGTTTAAGAAATAACAAAAGTTATTGTGAAAACACGAACTCTCGTCATATCGACAAAAAATTAAGCGATATGTAAAGTGAAGTGCGTAGTGTAAATAAACTTACCTTATATTGATTAATAAATGTGTAAGGAGTTGTTAAAAATAAAGGTTAACAATTCCCTCTCTCGAAAAACAAAAGGTTCAATGTGTTCAATTTGAAAATTCTTAAAAAAAAAACAAACAACCGAGACCAATTCAAAGATCATGATATGTCATTACATCATGTACATTGTGACAAAAGAAATGGGTTAAAAACTACTCTTTTTTTCAAGGCTAGTATATCATCAAATATGAATTCATTCGATAAAAATTAAATTGAGAGTAAGCGTATAACATGTTTGATTCTAAAAGTATTAAGTTAGACAAACGGAAATACTTAAGTCCAAAAACCATGTCCACCCAATCTAACACCGCCTTGTTGTAATTACCTTTAGTCCATCGGTTGCTTGACTGGTCATACTCTCTGTGTGCCATTGGTTGCCTTGATTTCCTGTTTTAGTAAATACTGTCGTCCTTGTTCCTTGTTCATCTTCGAAGTATACGTTGAGAGTGCCCATTTCAGACCCGTACATGTGATACGAAAAATACAAACATCTCTTTATACCTGGAAAACATAGTAATTTGTTCCCTTATTGATACCATTTTTATGTGACCAATTGTATCCCGCCATTCCATAGGAATTAAACGGATCAAGACACTTATAAATGTAAGCAAGGAGAATATATGACATAAAAACCTCTTTTAATATCATATTTGTACGTTATTAGTCTTATGAAAACGCCAAAGATTCTTCTGTCCACAAAAATCCCCAAGGGTGACTGGGTAATAGAACTATGGTCACCATTGGTCTTCCTCCGACCGGCGGTAAAACCCTCGCTAAAGTGGGGCGTCCGTTTGGCTGTGCGGGATGTACAAATTCGCAGTCACGTCCGGTCAGAATGGGGACGTTAAATCCAATGCCTCGTGTAAAGAGAGTGCCACATTCTTTGCACGTTAAGAACCCTTTCACAACTCTTTGAGGGGTCCGTAGGTGGCCTGTTGCAAGGCTAAATTTCTGTCCTTATCCAATATACCCTCATTTTCCCGTGGCAGTCCAAATTTCCCCGACCTTCGTCCCGGACAGCCTCTATTACAGGACTTACCTATTGTATTTATGTTAACTTGTTCTCGTCCTGAACATGCATAACATATTTGCCACTGGACGTTAAGCAACCAACATTCAATTAATCAATCTTTCCACAAAAGACTTTTACTGTAGTCGTGGCATACTCACTTAATTCATACGCACTTCACAGCAGTATTATTAAACTATAAAGGATCGAGTGATGCGTTACATGTTGTACTATGTCATTCGTCAGGCTTCTTTGCTTTTCGCATAGCTTGTATGCTGTCTAATGTGAACCAACCCCTATCTTTTCATTTGAGAAATGTTAAAGATTTAGAAATCGCCAAATAAACCATTACCACTTATATCCGACGAGTATTAATCTACACTTCAGAAGTTAATCTTTTAAATTTTCACTTTCTGTAAGAACCGGCTGTACTACATCGGCGAAGAGGATCATCCGTCGGGTAAGGAAAAATGGCAAAATTGGCCTTAAATAATTAAATTCATCATATTTGGTCAGAAGCTGAGTAACTGCAGACAATGTTAAAAAACGACGTTTTACCCAATGCTCCATTTGTGTTAAACTTATTAAAAAAAATTCCAGGCATATTTTGATACGCCAGATATTTCGTCTACATGAAACCCAACATTGGCGCTAACATCAAAACAGTTTGAAGGCCTGATCAATTACGACATTGAATGGCATTGGAAACCGAAATTTCCAAAAAAGTTGAGCCAAAAAGGCAAAGGAAATCTGTTCCTGTGGGTAGAAAACTGTGAGTGTTTTTAATAATTCAACATTTTATAAACAGCAAATTTATAGAAAAATGAACATGTCAATGATATTTCATAACAACACAAAAGTGCTGACTACTGGAATGAAAATGCCCTAGGGGAGGAAACGTCAACCAGCGTAGGCTTCGACCCAGTGGTTGTTAAATCCCATCAAAGATATCATGCTTGTAATTAGGTACGCCAGACTATCTGTTTTGCAAGAGGTCGTGTTTTTAAGCAGTAGGAGCATGCACTTTCATTTCGGGAAATATCTAACCTTTAAATGAAATGAGTGATATTTCGGAGAAGCTTGCCCAATGTGAAAACATCAGGTCTTGCTCTGTTGGGTGTCATGCAGTTATCTAAAATTAGTTCTTTTCGTCATTTTGCTTTAAAAGTTTAGATTACAGATCACTGACCGTCTGTTGCAATTATTAAGTCCGGTTTAATTATTTCAGAAGTTGTAGAGGATATATATTTCGGAAAAATGTCAACGGCTAATGGTTTCAAATGACAGCAATAGCTGATATGATCCAAATACCTACTAAAGCTAAAACTTGTTGTAAGAGAGCATATTTCTTATAAACAATTTTCTTCTTTCAGGTGATTTGAACGTTAAATAACTATTAGATGATACGAACTAATTTTTCTATCACCAAATGAAACGTTCCCCGTGTATTAATTTCAAGACACATAGGAGACTTTTCCACTCCAAGGGGAACTAGCGATTTGTCTTATGCCAAAAGAATTTTAACACTATTCACTTCAGCTGAAAATGTTGATTATACAAACATATTAGCATGCAGAAGTAATTATATTTGAATTAAACATAATTGATTTATGATATTTCTTCAACAGCTTTCGAAACTTGATAGACTTCAACCTAATAGAAAACGACACTTTTGATGAATAATGTGTAGACAAATGCGCGTCTTGCGTAGACACTTATAATCCTTGTATCTTTGGTGAGTTTTTTAAACGGTCTGTAGGAAATTGCAGATGAATTTTTATAAGTTTTAGATATTTTTGTTTCAAGGTGGTATAATCGTTGAGAATGAATGAGTATTTTCGGTATACGTAAACGAGGCAGTAACCCAATGACACAAAAACAAAAAAACACACTTTATCTTCCAAAATACAATTGGACAAGCTTTACATTGTCCCGAGTTATGAGAAATAAAAAAAAACAGTACCCTCATATATATTTACACATAATAGATATTGTTTTGCTTCTTTTAAAAACGTGTAGATTGCAACAACAGATGTATACTCATAAAAATATGTACATTACGACTCGTAAACAGAAAGCGAATAAGACTTATCACCGGGTTTGTACTTTCTTGAGCAACGCGACGGTGCCACTTGAGAAGCAGGATCTGCTTACCCTTTCGGAATATCTTAGATCAACCCCATTTTTGATGGTGTTCGTGTTGCTCAGTCTGTACTTTTCTATTTTGTGTTTTGTGTACTGTTGTTTGTCTGTTTGTCTTTTTCTTTTTCTAGCCATGGCGTTTTCAGTATAAATAAGATTATCTGGTATGAGTACTAATGAGACAACTCTCCATCCAGGTCACAATGTGTAAAAAGTTTATTTTCGACCTCTGAGTTTGAAAGTCCATTTGGTATCTTTCGCCTCTTTTTTGCATGATGATAAATAAAAAAGAAATAATAAAGTGCAATAAAACACGACAGAGCCAAGTGCCGACAATTTATGATACCAAATATATCAAAATTTACGTGACAGAACGAGTAGACTCTGTTGTGCTGGATAATATGACCACCAAATAGCACAAAAGCGCATAAACTGAATCACGATACATTGGCAAACAATTCAGAAAAAAAAAATTCATTCTAATTCATAGAATCAACTGACTGAAAGTGTGGATTCGCATGGACAATGATGCATGCTTACCAGTAGACTCTTACATTGTTTCTTGTCCACGCTCATTTTTTAAGTTCACGCGATTCCCTCAGTGTTTGTTTGTTATCTTGATTTGTCTCCTTTTAACGAAGTTTGAACATCTGTAAACTACTGTCGCCTTAATTTATACTTTCTGTTTAATTAACGGGTACAATTTTAAAAGAGGGTTAAGAACTCGTAATACGAATAATTATTAAACAATACTAACTAGGCAAAGATATGTTTGTGAACATTACAGCTTTTTCGCCAGCTATTCGTGGTGATGACGCTTCCGTATACCAATATATAAATCCTTCAACAGCATTGCCCGGGCCACTTGATTCCGTTTTTGTAGCACCCTGTACATATGGAGAGAAAAATATAGTTAGTTTACCATGAGTTCAGAAGATATTGTACTTTTTAACATCTTATACTTTTGAAAATTGAAGCAAACTACATATGCTTAAAATTGCTCAGAATTCCAATTGTAAAAGCTAAAATTAACGTTAAGATAAAAACAAATTCGTTTCGTTTTGATTTCATTGTTTTTTTGTTTGTTTTTTTTTTTTTGTTTAGTCAATTCCACAAAAAAAATCACAAACATTGCAACAATGTATCAAGTTTGTTTGCAGATGCAATTTTTCGTTGACTTGATTAAAATCTTTATTTGATGGAAATATGTAAAATAGTTTAAAAAAAATCATTGAAATATATCATCTAGGCCCTTAAGTATTGGATTTTTACACCGTTTCATCAATTATCCGGTAAAATAAAACATACTACACATTTTCGATACCTTTAACAACACTGATTGTAAAAACAAACTAATATTTATTTCTTATTTGTTGATTGAAAGGAAAGCGTTATCTTTTAACGGCAACTAACGACTGTTTGTTGAAGAACATGCTTAAATATTTGGAAGTACCCGGTAATTCATTTTTCTGGCAAATATATATTTAATTTATTTAAAAGGTCAATATTTTAATGAAACTATAGAACACAGATTTGGGTCCCTCCGATCTGAATATCTGTCTTTAGCAAAAATAATAATCAAATTTAGAATTAAATATGCAATATTTAAATCATTTGAAACAGTGGCAGCAACTTCTCACAAGCTAAGTACGATTGTTACCCGCTTTGAATCAGATCCATTCGGAAAACATTTCTAAAAAAAAAGGTATTGTCATTTAAGGACAGCAGCTTCTATAGGGAGTCAATGGATGACTTCCTTTATTTTTTTGTCAGGAAGATCTTGTCTTGCTGATATTTTTGTGGAGACTAGTGTTTATTATAGTTTACAAGTTAAAAACCAAACATGCAAACATTGTGAAAAATTGTCATTCTGTGACAATTACAACTGTAAGGAGTAGATCGACGATTTTGATTTTGTTGATTTATGTGAAGATCTTATTTTTCTGATTATAGACCTTGATGTGCTTTTCATTTTAGGTGTTTACAGTGTATTCATTGTTTCCAAGCTACTTGCAAAAAAACCTGCAAAAATTGTCATTAAGAGGTAATTGCTCAATGGACAAAGATATCATCTGGTAATGTGTGCATTGTATTCTAAGTACTTTTTGTAATACTTTGAATGATGCAAATAGTATGTCATGTATTTCGAAGAATCTGCAGTAGAATTACAAGACTCGGCAGTTAACTGCCTTGTAATTTTCGGTGGTGAAATTCGAAACGTATCTCGACTGTTTAATTTCAATTAATAGAAAACTGTTCCTTTCTTGGATAATGTCCAAGTAAATGTTATAAGCTGAAACATATAAGTGTAAGGAATTTTTAATTACCGTTTTGGTAACCCAGTCAAAATCAGCATTAGTGTCCTGGGCCAGCATACAATACTCTCCAATCTCTGCCGAACATCCTATTGATGCAGAATCTGCAAGATTATGTATTCAAGATAAGAATAAAAACTATGCTGTGCATTTCTAGAGAAAATATTGATAGACAAATGAAAAAGTAAACAAAAGTGATTAAAGAGAACGTAAATCCTCTGAAACTACAAAAACATGACAAGACAATTATCCCTCCCTCTCCTCCCACCCTCTTCTCAAACCCGCTTGGAATGCGATCATTAAATCCCATGCCCCGTATTTGAAGAGTGGCAATTTTTTTTAGTACGTAAAAGAACACATGAAATGACTCTTAGATCGGTCTGAAGTTCACCTATCACAAGTCAATTTTATTTATCTACGCAACACATCCTTTGTTTCAATGGCAATCCAAATGCTTGCTCTGTAATACGATCGACCAATTAGTCAACCCTGCTGGAGTTATCTATCAAAGTAGTCTTTATCTAAACATTAAAGAAATAGTTTCCATTTGACGTTAAGCAAACAACAATCAATTAATTTTCCGTTCCAAAGTTTGAGAACGTTTTTCAATCAATAAAAAAATCTGAACTTCGATCTGATGAACGCAATATATTTTACTTTTACTTATCAAAAGGGAGATGTGGTATAATTCAAATGATACAATTATATAGGAGAGATCACAGACATGGATGTAATTTGACAGTAGGTCACCCTTAACAATACGCGAAACCTATACCGTATAGTAAGCTATAAAAGGCATCATCATCGCAAATTGAAAAACTAGTCAAACGAAATAGCAAGGAACTTATCTATACTGATAAATAAACGAAAAACAAATATGCCTGACATCAACAAACCACAACCGCTGAATTACAGGGTCCTACCCTGGGACAGTCACATCAAGAATAGGAATGGCTAAGCATATTTGTGAGGGCTTAACCCTCCCCATAACATTGGAGTGTAATGTAACAGCACAACATAAGACCAAACTGTAAAATTCAATATGAAAGAGCTTAATTCATCAGATCGACACAAAACACAAAAAAAAAACCAGCAAACAAAAAGACACACACAAAGTAACAATCCAAGATTACTCGCAGTTAAAAGTTTGTTAAAATACAATTACAACTAATAGATAAGTTCTATTATCCCATTCTAAAATATAAATCAGTACACGTTCAACAGGTTTAGTGTAAAAAAAGCATAATAAAAGGTCTGAGAAATGACATTGTGCAATGCTAGAATATAAGTATCAGCCAGATTACGGATTATAAGTGCTCACAATTATAGGAACACATATTTATCTATTTACTTTCATGTCTTCTTGTACATGTTGTACAGATTGATGAAATCATTAACTACGACTGCAGTTGATTATCTTTAAAACCATTCCAGATGTAATCAGCAATTATTGAAAAACGAAAAAAAAGAAAACGATATTTAGAAAGTAAAATTCCTGTTGTAGTACAAACACACAAGGAATTGAATAGGTTTTAGCGTTGTCCATTGTATGTGCATATCTTCTGATCAAATGTGCATAAATAAAATAAAAAATATGATGGTCATATAGTTCCTCTGTTCATATAGCTCCTCGCGTGTTTCGGTTTCCTAGGCTTATAAATATTTGGTTTTGAACGTTCCTGAAGAAGAAATCCAGAAAAATGCTTGGGACGCATACATTTAAAAAAAATATTTCCATTTTACCTGTTAGAACATCACAATTTGTTCCTGTAAATCCTTCTTTGCATGTGCATGTGTAGGTGTCTGTATTCAGAGGACTGTCACATGATCCAAATCGACATGGGTAGTGTATACATCCTAAATAATACACATGTACAAATCAAAGAACGTTCACAAATGTTTAATATGGCCTTAATAATGTCTCGCTGCTTTAACCACCACGTTCATAGATAAAATAAATCGACACAATAATGTTTACCTAATGTGGCCGTTCCGAACAACAGATCGTAAATGGTTAGATACAAGTAAACCCAAAATTAATCATTTTTTATGTATGAAAGAGTTGAAATATTTCAAAATCTTGAGAAGTTCAATTAACCATCAGTGGTAAATGCTTACCAACTATACAAATAACAACTGGTGTTATTGTATTACTTTTGTGAAATGATAATGACATGAATTCATTGGTTCTTTGCATTGTGAATTATTTTTCTGGAACCTTCTCTGCAATAGTAAACCACATCATTGCCCACAGAAAAGATAAACCAGTCTAACATCAAGAAATTCTACATCAATAGGTCTATTGGTCAAATGAAAACATTGGTTTTTAGGACCCTGTATCACTCACCATGCAAAGTGTGCGATATTTATATTATTATCCCCTTTTTTCAAACAAAATATTTCTTTTCTGAAACAAATTTTCATAAAACATTGCAGTAACAACTAACACTACAGAGAAAAACATAATTTTCATTATTTTTAATGTTTTTTGTTTACATTGAGATGATAACATCCCTTTCCCTGTACCATTTTAATTGTGCAAATGTGGGAAAAATATCCAGAGAGATTTTGTGACTTTCTTTTTAAATTTGTGTTCCTTTGGTCCATAAGATGGCTTAAATGAAAAGTAATGTTATTTCAATGATTAGACATGAATAAGATTTTATTTATAAGGTTGGTTGATTTTGCTTTTACAATTTTTAATAGGCTTTGGATTCCCAAATATATTACCGCTACATCAGTCAGGCGGCATCATGATTTAAATTCATATTATCAAATGATACACCATGTACAGTAATCTTAATATCTAAAAGTGTACAATATACCTGTTCCTATCGATTTAAACATCATGCGGAACCCTTTTGATGTTGGTTCATCGATATGACTGTCGAACTGGATAATCATTTTGTTCTTAAATTCATCAGGTGATGCATCCCAAACTTCGTTGTTTGTTATACCACATCGCCTATGAATGTGCAAAAATAAGTAAAAGACTATGAGATTATTAACATGAACGTTGTAGATGTGCTTTAAGGCAATTGCTTGGCCTAACCCTTTCAGTCATAAAACTTTATTTAGTACTCGAAGTACAAAATGTGATTGAAACACCAGATCCAGTATTTGCATTGGATAATGTTTGGGTCTACATACGATAATTGTACTCAAAATGTTTATGACTGTAAGGCTAGAAGCTTTTGAGTTTAAACAGCATTGTGTGAATTGTAAAATATATTTATAAGTATTCCTCACGATGTCTGTGCAAACTTGTTGTTTTGGTCCATATTGTTTTTCTTCTTATTGTAAAAGTCTCCCAAACAACGTCAACCTGAAAATCAATGTCGAGTGACATTGGTACTTTTCCATTTTTTTAGAATATCCAGACGAACGTCAACGGATAACTGTTTCAATGATTTTTTCCTTTCAATATTTTTTAAGTCAAAACTTAACGAAATTTTAGCAAGAGTGCTACTCGCAAGTGCAAAGAGACAGCAATTGAACGCTTATAAATTTTACAATTGATGCTGCAAAAATGTCAGGTTTTCACATAATAACACAAGTGTGACCAAAATTAACCTTTTAAAACTTTCGATATCATTTTGGTTATCCATAAACAATTGGCGAGTTCCAGTAGGATGTACGCCTTTATGTCACCTGGAATGACGCGTCAATAAATACATTGCAATTGTATTGTTTCAGGTCTATTTTCTGCTTGACACTTAAAGTAATCGTTTTGAACATATTGCACTCATATCAAGATACAGCAAAGAGTGCCAGAAGGTATTTACAAAAAAGTAATGCTTGTCAAGAACTTATAGCGCATACTAATTAAAGTCACAGTGGCAAATTAAATAAAAAAATGTATGTGCTCTAATATTATAATTCATTCAGATTCTTCAAAGATAAGAAAATTAACTTATACTACTAATTTTAGTAATGCTGTTTCTAAAATAGGCGACAGACAGTATCCTCAACAAAAGGGTTTTCGAAGTCAAATACATAAAATGTTTATTGATAAAAGATCTATTCATAATGGGTAAAACCTTCAAACGCAATTTTGACCGACAAAACAGCAAACTAAATCGTGAATTTCTGTAAACATTGGTTTACGCGTTCCTAAAAAATTACAAATTTTGTGAAGACAAATAACCCAGAAATTTGAAATTTATCAACAGTTTGTCAAATATCTGCTTACTGACATATCACTAACAACATGTTTTCGCTCACTTAGATTGTTAGATACCAGCATAGTTGTCTAATCTGTAATTCAGGCGTTTATGTCCTACTACGTTTTGAATAAGTGTGGATTCGCACGGCTTGGGATGCATAAATTCAGGAGATGCTTATCTGTCGACACACTTAGTCTTGCCCCTTGATGAGTCCTTACGATTCCCTCTGTTTTTGTTTATTGCCTTGATTAATTAATCAATTTATTATATTTAAACATTAGGTAACTACTTTTGCCTAAATGTACAAGTCGTACAAGAGCCATCCGCAAATAAAAGAAGCCGAAATGGTAAAGTCCGTATTTTGATATTGGAAACCCAGAACATGTAATTTACAGATGTACAGCTTCATGTTCTATAAGAAAATCGGTGCAAGTTTGGTTGAATTCTGCACAGTCATTTTAGGGAGTTACGGATTATTAATCATTTGTTAATGTGTGACCAGGTCGACGAAACAAGACGACAGAAGTAACCCATTTGGGTAACCGCAGGTGACTCTATCAGGCTACACAAAGATTTCGTAAGACGACAGGAGATTCAATTGACATTTAAAGACAACTAAATGAGTGTCCTTTCTGCAAATATATAGGTCAGAGTTACCTTAAACTGTAAATTATATTTATGGGATCTTACTTTAATATCGTGCATTGATTCTCATCTTGAGAAATTAATATAAATCATATCTTAACTAATGTAAATATTGCCAATGACGGACCAACACACAAACGAACAGACGAAACGCTATCGGTCTCAAAAAGTCAGGTGACCTAGGAGATAAAACATATTTCTAGATTATAACATGTCCTTTTCCATATCGACTCTGGTATCATCCCGAGACTCCCATATTATCCCAAGGCGCTAGCCGTCGAGGGCTTATATAGGTTGAGGAACGATACCAGGGTCAATATTGAAAAGGACATGTTATTATCTATTTATTACAAATTATACAAATGCTTGAAACAGAAGGAAGAATTTTATAATTCCGTCTATCAAGATCATACATTGTTTGTCCTCCATTGACATTACTTCATTATTACGAAGCTCCCATAAATAGTCCTTGAATAATAAAATGTCAATGTCCGATTTTCTTAGTATTAGTGTTCTCTATTTCTTTTACAAATTCCGCTGTCTTTTAATTAGACGTTTCCTGTCCGACATTATTGTTAAGAACGCTTATGACTTCATAACAGGGCACAACTGCTTATGACGCCATAACAGGGCACAATAACTGGTTATTTGCCTCAGGCAAGAATATGACTAGGCCAAATCTGCAGTATTTTCATATGCAAAACCCAATGTTTTCGTAACAAATATGTGATAATGAATGTTATACTTACTTGGGTCCAGTCTGTCCTAATAAATTGTACCTAAATTCCAACCAATGAAAGCAAACGTGGCCATTATTGTTGATGTCCATATCTTCAATTGTCCCACGTAAAATATTGTTTGCTACGCCCTGTATCATAAAATGATTTTCAATTTTAATGTATGGAACTTGTACTTTAAAATACACTTATGCAATCTATCACTAAAGAATGTTTGAGTTTCACATTTTCTTTTTTTCCTTGATATTTTGTAGCCATCATTAGCATGATACAACGTTCAGTTTCCTCTATGAAAGGTCAAGAGAAGGCTGGTTGCTGCTAAAACCTCCTTTTTCATTTTGCATTGTCACATGATGCAAAAAAGATTAAACCGTTAGCTGACTTAAAAGTTAATATAAAGTATTTTCAAAAAATGATTATTTTGTACAGACATGATGTAGTTTTAAGATCTGTTTTATGCAGACTGCACTGGAAGTTTTGTAAAAAGAAAATTACAAAAAGGAAAAGATGACAAAATTAATTAAAACAAGCATAAAAAGGAATTGACTAGGGATAAAATCTAGAAAGCAACAATTTAAAAAATCTATGTTTTACAATTCAAACTTTTTATACATGTTGTATAAATCAAGAAAATTTAAATTGGAAAAGTGTATTGATGTACCACTTATGTTTTTTTGTGGTTTAAACGGTATATCTAGAAGAGCGCTCCGGACGAACTGCATTTATAAAGTGTTATTTTTATTTGGTAGAATTTACCTGGTCATTTTATGTGCTTGACTTTCCACATAATATCACATTTAAATATTTGTGGGATGAACATAGTGGACGGAATTATAGAAATTGTATAAATATCATAACTATACAAGAAGCACCTTAACAGATGCTCCTTTAAATATTCGAAACATTCTCTTGCCAATTACTTCCAATGTATTAGATTAGATTGTTCAATTATTTCCTTTTTTTTTCTTTGACGAACTGTATGTTTTAATACTTACCTGTATAAGCCAGGTGCATTTTAAACCTGTATTATAGTTGTTTGGATAGTTAGGGGAGTTGACATATATTTCATCTTCTGCACCTACATTTACCACTCCACCACAGCCTGAACAAATTAGCATTATCTAATTATCATTCTTGATGTAACTAAGCTTTTTAGAAGATCAAATATCTGTTATGGTTTATATCCATGTACTAGTATTGTAAGACAATGACCTTGAGTATTCTCTCTATTATGAATACATATTGCAACATTTAGGTGTAAATACAGAAGGCTAAAGAACCGAAACTCAGCATCAACAGGTAGCAAATAACCGACCATTGGTTTGGTTTAATTTATTTTAATCAATTGTATCCAACTCCTTATAGTGGGGCGGAAGACACTTCGGGATTGAGCTGTTTAATTCGCGGAAATTCGGGAATAGCCAGTTAATTAATCGGGAATTCGGGATTTCGGGATTTAATTTTATCGAGATGCGGGAACGGACACATTTTTTTCACGGCAATTCCTTTTATATAAGCTGTTTAATGGTAAACTACTACATGTGCTCCTATTTTGCTGATTATCACACTATGCAATACACAGTGTATATAAAAATTACAAAAATATAACACTGCAGTGACAAATCTGAAATGTTCTTAATAAAAAGGAGTTTTCGTTCATCAATCCCAACAACAGTATAAAGTTCATTGATACAAGCATGCTACATCTGAAAAATTGCATTTAATAAAAATCGTAGCAATGGAAAAACCTACCAAAAAATGTTAAAATTCAAAATGGAGTTAACCCTGCCCAAATCCAACAACAGCATTTCAAGTGAGACGAGTCAAGTATACTTTAGTTAGTGTGCGATATGTGAACAAAAAGTCTCTTTAAACTGAAACAACTGAAACAACAAATCGAAAATGGATGAAGTCAAAAGGCAGCTTTTGTTGTGAATAGACAAACGTACAGACAGACGGACGAAGATATATCACAAAAAACGTCTCGTCTCGACGGATGCATGAAAAAGAGTTTATGACTTGATACAGACACTTTTCAATGGAAAACATTGGAAATTGGACATATAAATAAAATAAAAGAGCTTGTTTCTATAGTACCACAACAAACATTTGGCAAATCTACTCAATTATATTAAAATGAATTAGACTTCGAAGCACAATAGTTCAATCGTAAGCGTGCATAGAGACTTTGTCCATTGCCGTTCCCAACATAAAAGTTTACAAATATGTTTGTTTTTTTTTTTTTAATTCAGAGAGAGTGGCATTGTCTAACATTTAAAAGGTATTTTATGCCAAAATTCAATAATTAACGTGTTATGAAATAATGTTGTTTTAAGAATATAAAGGTCCGACCGACAATGACACTAACCCTAAACACGGTATCGAAATTAACGTCCCCATTCAGATCGATTTTGGCTGCGATTTCATACATCCCACACAAGCAAATGAACGCCCCGCAAGGGTTTAACAACTAAAACGGGAGAAGTCTAGAGATTACCATGTTTCTACTCCCGTCAACCCTGATGATGATTTAGATGAAAGTCAATTATTTGCCTTACTCTAATTGGTTTAATAAATATATAATGTCCCCTCGTCAAAGCGTATTATCTGATGCATAGAAAGCAGTACATCAATTTAATGTAGGAGTCAATCAGTTATATTACCCTTTACACATAAATTCGGAAAAGCAGGATGTTGTTCGAAAGCTGTGAATTCATAATATATATTATTTACTATGAAACGGACTTTATTTACGGAGTATTAGTTTTGCAGTGTTTCATTGTATATACATATTGCTTTTAATACAAGACGAACTTCAATCCTTATTTTTTTTTAAATGTTATATGCAAGATGAAAAAAGTACAAAATAAAAATCAACATATCATGGGTATTTCCAAAACCCGCTGTTATTGAAATATGTAAACAAATGAACTTACTTCCGATTGATACTGGTAGCTCACATGTATCACCCTCTAACAAGTCAGGACAATAACACCTGCACTCCCAATTCATAAACCCTGCATTCTGACATCCAAGATCGGTACATTGAGCTGACAAACATATAAAGAAAAAAAACTATTGTTTCGCGTTTATTAGATTTTTTTATATTTCTAAAAAAAGAAGTTACTTTCAGTTATCCAACAATTATGCAAATTACTAATATCAAACATTATTGCACTTAACAATTCATACGACTATTTTATAGCGTAATCATTCATATTTTATACTTATTATAAGTGGATAATCTCTCTCTCTCTGTATAAACACCGAAACATTGATTGACCAAATGAAATACTGTTCAATTTAAACAGACTAAATATTTCATAGTATATATAAAAAGTTAAATCACAAAAATAATGAACTCCCAGGAAAATTCAAAAACGGAAAGTTCCTAATCAAATGGCAAAATCAAAAGCCAAAACACATCAAACGAATGGACAGCAACTTCTCATACTCCTGACTTGGTACAGGCCTTTTCTTATATAGAAAAAGGGTGGATTAAACCTGGTTTTAAAGCTAGCTAAACCTCTCACTTGTATGACAGTCGCATAAAATTCCATTATATTGACAACTATGTGTGAACAAAACAAACAGACATAATAGGTAAAAATACCAAAAAAAGATGCACAGCAGTCAACATTGTGTTATCATTTTAATCCCTATAAAACAAACACATATATTAACAACCATTTACCATGGCACAATAATACAATGCCGGGATGTATAAGTACAGGGCCACGTCATATGTAAGAATTATGTAAGAAATAAAACATTGACACTCTGAAACTGCCAAATCCAGATGTTAAGTTTTGACAGACTGAAACTTTCGTAATAAATATTACAACATTGACACCCTGACTCGAACTTATTCAGATGCAGTTTAATGCAGAAAGATTGGTTATTCCATAAAATATATCCAACATTGATATTCTGATATTTATGTTCAAGTGGAGGGAGGATGTAAACAAATAAAAATACCTAGCAACTAATAGTAAACAGAAGAATTGCATGATAAAGTAATTTGAACTTGCACTCAGTAGCCGCAAACATACTTTTATAAGATATTTTTGTTTATTATTTTATTGTATTAAAATTTACTGTTATTTAAGAGTTGAGTGCTTTCCAGTACTGGTTTCTATTGTATGTTCTTTAGATTACATTGTATTAGTAAACTGATCGATTTTAAAAGGGGGAAGGTTGAGATCTAAAAACACTTATTAGACCCTTCAACATATTCATGTGTCTGTCCCTCGTCAGGAACGTAGTTGTTTTGTTATTTTGAAAATTGTTTGTTATTCACACTTTCACAACGATTCAGGACAATTTAGAGCATGTCTTCTGTTGAAGACTGTGTAACATTTAGATATATATTGGTTACTATTGTCGTTGCGTTGTTGTTTCATTGACGTTTACCCCATCGAGTTTATCTATAACAGCTATTACCAGAACAACCGTAAGCACTGTCAACTTCTTGTACATCATAAAACATAAGTCCATCAGCAATTTTCGGAAGAAACTCTAATCTGTAGTCAATGAATGGCATAGTCTTTCTACCGTCAATCGAAAAAGCCTGGAAATAAAGTTTGTTTAAGATACGCAGTTGTTATATAAAAGTTGAAATCTTATATTTCTAACAGTTGTTCAATATGCCATACGCTGCCAGTTTGAATAATTTAATTGACAATCAAGCCCATTATCATTCTCCTTTTTTGTAAAATGGTTGCAAAAATGATTTCATTTACTACAAAATCACGGCATATTCAACATAAATCAGTTAATAAAATGTTGAAAAAATCCATGACGACACTCGGCCAAATAAACATTTTAGCCGACTGATTACAATACTTGGTCTATATTTTTTATTTCATCGACGCAAGCCATTATTGAATACTAAGACAAAATAACACAAATATGTATATTTACGTGTCAGAATACATTGATAGGACAACATCTTTCAATAGGAAGAAAAACCACTAATTCATAGCCTCATTGCTTTCTATGTTAAATCCTATCATTACAAGCATTTATAGCTATTTTGTCTTAAGTTCAAATAAAGTGACAGTCATTCCATGTCAAAAGTATATTTTATCCTGACATGAGCTAAAATATTCAACATACCTTTTGTTGCATATTAGATTGCGCTGGTTCCCAGAAGCGTGGTAATACAGAAAAGGGTACTTCTGATCTGAACAACAAGACAAATATGACCTCCCTATTTTAATTTACTATATTTTTTTTATTACTTAAAAGAAACTTTCAACATATGTTTACAGTGATCCCAAGTCTTTCAGCTTTCATTTGATACCAAAGGTATCCTTATATTTTACTTTTTGATAAAGTAACAGCTATTCGTAGGAACTATGTTGTTGAAAATATGTACTACTTTCTTGTTTACATGTATTCTTTCCGATTAGATCATAATTAGTGGTTCTATAGCTTCAGAACCTACAATGAGTGTTCCGTCGAAACTGCCTTTTTTATGAATATACTTTTTCTTGTGCTCTTTAATATGTTCTCAACAATTCGGATAGGGTAGACTTTTATAAATAATTGTAACGCCGCAACATGTTTTTAAAAGACAGTTTCCCTTAAAAGCATATTTTGTGGGAATGATATGCTTTTCAATGTGATATGTCCATTATCCGTAAAAAATGTAATTGATAATCTTATTTTGTAGGCCAGTCATAATCTAATGTTTGTCTTTATATTTCTTATTTGTCATAAATATGAGAAGAGCTAAGTTACTCCTATGACGTAGCTTATAAACTCACGTATACACTGTACTGTAGATCTGATGACACATCGTAAGGAACATCAGTATTAACGTTTCTCAATTCAAAGTTGTGTCTTTTTTTCCTTTTAATGTGTTGCCATTGAACATTTAAGTAACTATCCCTATCTGGTCGGCTTTGTTCATGTTGAGCACCCATAGCATGTAACATCTCATGAACTATTGTAGGTCTCTGAAACAAATAAAAATTGAACATTTATCTCTAATAAACAAATTTAACTATTTCTTATCACTGTTTTACTGAAAAATTGGTATGAACATAGGGCCGCTTTCATTGATTGGAAAAAAGGATAAATCGCTGAACTAAGTAACATATTATCTAGTTCAACTAAATTTGCTACTACTGACTGGATCCTACTCCACATGTGGCACCCTTTGTGTTGCTCATGTAAGTACAAACCCGGTGATTATAATTTGGTAGGTCACATTCGGGGGAAAGGGGACGGGCTTGTAGTTACGTCAATTGGAAAATATTCGTATTGTAATTTTACTAACCGACATGCAGCCGCCTGGAGTTAGAGTTAGTCTCTGGTATGAACCGCTAGATTGTTTTCCAACATAGGATTTACATCCAGTAAAACTAAAAAAACATAATCCATTAGTTTAAACAATGAAAATATTTTGAAGAGCTGATTATGCTTTTAAAACACAAAGGAACTTAACTCGCTTTAGAACGAGAGCTTGGATATATATATATAATTGAAATGTCTTTATAACAGATAGATAGGTGTCGATAATTTGAGTTTTTTCTTTGGCCGCCATTTTGGAGGTGTAAACGGATAATCATGTGGTACAAACAAGTCTGATAAGATGTTCTTACTAAATCGTAGTGATGAATAAAGGAAGTCTCAAAGAGACATAAATGATTCAGAAAACCTAAAGCTATTTGCCACAAAAGGGAAGTAACTCTCGCTCAATAGAAAACATATTTTTATTTAATCGTTTAATGAATTTAGAACCAACATTGTTTTTAAATAAGGAATGAAAGCATTGTAAAAAAAAATGAAAGTCATAAATGATGCCAAGCTTATATATAAGTACGCCAGACGCGCGTTTCTACTACATAACTCCTATCGGTGGCACTCTTATCAAATCAGTTAGAAGGCTAAACCAATATCGAATATAAAAATAAGATGTGATATGATTGCAAATAAGACAACTTTCCACAAGAGACTAAACGACAAGCAACTAAAGGTCATCATACGGCCTTCAGCGTTGCGCAAAACCTATATCGCATAGAAAGATTTAAAAGGTCTCAACATGACAAAATGAAAAACTCTTCACAGGAAAAAGCTAACGGTTTGATTTATGTACAAAAAAATAAACGGCAAACAAATATCAAATACAGCAACAAACAACAACAACTCAGTTACCGGCTCCTGAATTGTGACAGGCACACACATAATGTGGTGGATTAAACGTTTATGGACGCCCTACTCTCACCTACAGTGGTGTAACAGCACAACATAAGAAAAATTTGTGAAAAATCAGTCAAAAAATGCTTGACTCATCAGATCGATACAAAGTTGATGTGCTTTGAACTTAAAATTTAAAGACGTTTTCCAAATCTGGTTAAGGTTATCTAGGTGATGGGATTAAGACAATATCTTAACTGAATATAATGTATTAGCTTACAGTATTTTAACGAACTGAACCACTTGCGGTTAGATGTGTTCTTACCCTGATTCTCTTTGTATCCTTACATAATCAGTGTGACCCAGATTGTCAAATGAAGCTAGGGGGTCATCTCTTTGGACCCATCTGACACAAGTCAGATCATTAAACTGTTTTATGGCCTCATAAATTGCAGTTTTACCGTCTACAGCTGGAAACAAAATCGTCAGATATATTTGATAAAGTATGGTACAATCAACAGTAACAATCAACTACTGTTGATGATGTTGAAAAGATTTATCAAAATTTAAGGATGAACGTTTTGTGTTTGAAGAGTTGCTACAGTCAAATGAGAATTTGAAAGTCGAAAACTCAGTATTACAGGCGACATGGGATTCTACTGGGAATGTAGAGCAGAGCCAGTAAAACTTGGATATATGATCATCAAATCCTCGCTTGACAGTGACAACACTTCAAATACAGTACTGTGGTTAAAAAACTAATACAATACTCGTGAAAATGTAATTTCAAAATAAAACAACTGAAATATCCTTAAAACGTTGACTGCGATTTTGCAAGATTGTTGCCAATTAATCAATTTGCACTAGATTTTTTATTTTTTATCGGAAATTATTAATATACATGGATACACCAGATCTAATGTCATTAATGTATACAACATGGTGATCAGAGGCATTGTAACTACATTTCAGAAAAGTTTGTTTAGTCTCTGGTGCTAGTAATAAAATGTATGCATTCGGCACGCCTCGGCAAAACGAGTGTAGAGGAATCTGCCGAGGATTGCAGATTGCAAATATAGGACATCAAACAAATTATAAGAAGATATCAAGTGGTTAATTAAGAAAAAAATCGTCGACGATGTAGAGGCAACTCTATGGCCAAAACGTAAATCTGCAAGGACGATCAAAAACATTCTATAGAACCTGGGGATACAGCAATACGAATAACACTAAAAACTTAGGTGCTCCGAATGGATAGTCTGCGCTCCTGTTATACTACTGGATATCGTCGTGTTACGCATAAAAAGTATAAATTCCGATGATGAGTCGTACAAAATATATTCAGGATTGGTCATGAGATAGGAGAAGAGGGTGGTATTGTTTCTATTACACATCAAACACAGTCTCGTAGTATAATATCAAAACGTAAACAGCAGTCAATCATAACTACCGCCGAAAATGATACAAAATACCAAACAATTTTACTAAATATTCTTTAAAAGGAAACCGTCATTTGGTATGTTGTAGATAGTTTTATCATTAGCAATCATACAAGATTTTCTTATTTTTAGATTTAAGCTTGCATTTTAATGCATAACATACAGAATTATCACATAAAAAAAGCCATTGATACCAACATAGATTACAGAACTGTGGTTTCAATTATTGGCGGAGAAATAAATGTGTAAATATCAATAAAGAACATTTTTACAGATTCATGAGAAAAAAAAAACAAATTATCTTGAAATACAAATGACAGGTCTGTGATTCTATTACATGCTGGAGAATCGGGCAGGACGAGAATAGGACATTGCATTTCTTCTCTGAAATCCGTTTTACATTTGACATTAGACAGAATATTAAAAAAAAAAACACTACTTGATAGATATTTACAGCTGTCATTTGTTTTGATTGTATGTTTCAATGGTTAATTGAAAACGTCATTTAACTGAATATTGCAATGAATTACCGTAATATCCCAATAAAACAGATCCGATAACTTCACATGCAGATTAAATCCGATGATTTCAGTTTTGACATCATACAACAATGGGTGATGTCAAAACATTGTCGATGACGTTGCATCAAAACGTACTATAAATGCAAAACAGATATAGTTCCTTGCATTTTCAACTATGTATTTATTAAAAAGTCCGTTGTCAATGTGATAAAAAGAATTACTAATCCAAGAATGTAAGTATCGGAAAATATTTAACTCTTAACCGAACAACATAGATAAATAATTATTGCGCTACGCGCATTCGTGAACGTATGCGTTGGTTGGTAACTCTTTGAATTTTGTTTTATATTACAATACTTCAATTAGTTCTCTATTATTTAATTATCTAATAGCTTTATACTTACAAATACGAAACACTTAAGAGAGAGAGAATCATATTTCAGAAACCTGTTTCATCAATTTTAGCTTTATGTAGCAAATACCAGTTTGAAATTATTATCAAAACATTTATATCATATAGATTTTCTTTTACAAAATATACATACTGTAGGTATTTGATGCTATTTCGTATGGTATTATTCCTTTTGGCCATATTCTTTCCGGGTCCAATAAAAAATTTCTTTTTATTCCCTCAGGCTGTATAATAAAAGGTACATTCAAATCAAAATCAATTAAACATATTTTTTTTTTGGAAGAAGCTGTTATAAATCACGTGATGAACATTATTAATAACAGATGGGAATTTTACGTCAATGAGGCAGCATCACAATGACACAAATCTAGAGGTAAACTTACTTCTCAATAGACTATTTTCATATTACCGACTTTTGACTCCGAAGTTTATATTTTTTCGACAGGTTACCTACTCCGTGGTAGGACTTCCTGGTACAAAGTCAAATAAGAGCAACGTAAAGAAGTAAAATCAAGCTTTCAATCGGTATAATTTTTAGGGGACAAATAACTGCTTTACATTTTCTTTAAACGGCAAAATCATCGGAAAACAGTAAACTTTCCCCTGAAATTATACCGATTATATGCTTGATTTTACTTATTTTTGTTGCTCTTACTTGACCAAATACCAGGATGTCTTACCACAGAAAAGGTAACCTGTCGAAAAATTGTATAATCCGGAGTCAAAAGTCGGTAATATGAAAATACATACTCTATTAAACTTTTTCATATTTTTCATGCCGGGGCCTTTTATAGCCGACTATACGGTACCATTTTCTACTTGTTGAAGGCCGTACGGTTGTCTTTAATTGCTTACATCCACCTCAATTGACATTTGGTGGATAGTTGTCTCACTTTAAACTTAAAATTGTTTACGCCTAAAATATTAATAGGTAAATAAAATGTTACCTTTGTTGAAAGTCTAAACAGTTCTCAAACAAACAGCTAAAGTCCCCAAGCATAAAGCATACAATTTTGATCTGTATTCGTCCTTAAAACAAATTCTAATTTAACATTTATGTAAAGGTTGAGACCAAAAATCACTATAATGATAATTATTCAGCAGTTGTCTTTATATAGTTTGTTTACTCTGAATCAGATGAGACATTAAAGTAGTACTACAATTTGAAGTGCACACGCAAGCCGTATATGATATTAACTGCAGTTGAATAATTATTTAAAATAAAAAAATGATGCATAGAATGTTTATTGATTCCTTGTTTGGGTGCGGGAGCCCTATAATTTTCTCTTTGTCCGTCCGTCTGTTAGTCAACAATTTTTGTAGAAACAATAACTCCAAAAGTATAGCTTGGAGGCCAGTGACATTTTTGCACAGTTGTTACGCATAATATGTTGATATTTTTAGAAAAAAAAAAATAGCCAATCATTATTGGAAAAATTTTTTGTCGAAAATTTTGAAAAATAGTTTACTAAGCAAAATTTATCCAAGAGTATAAATACGTGTATAAGACCAATGAAATTTTTCATTATTTTTGTGCATATTTTTAAAGTGTTTGTTTCAAAATTACAAATTTTGAGAAATAATTTTTGTAAGTTCAAAATCACCTCAAGTACGGGTAGCAGCAGGCCAATGAAATTTAGCAGTGTTTTTTCATAGTATGAAGATTTGCATTTAAATTGTTGGTAAACATTGGCCTAATAATATTTTTTTGTTTTTGTTTTTGTTAAAGATCACAAATTTTGATGATCATGTTTTTGTGCAAGGATTTCAATGAAAACTAACATGTTGGTTTAACAAAAATACTCAAAATTAATTCCTGGTTTAAAAAATCTAGTGAGTTTGTTTTTGAAATTGCAGTAACAACCAATTAATCTTTGTTTGAAAATCACATATTTTGAGAAACTTTTTTTTATTTCCTATTCCATATTGATTATAGCTGACAAAAAAGGATTTTTTTGACAATTTGGAAAAATAATTGGGATAAAAACTTTGTTTTGGTAAAAAAAAAAATAATAAATTCTGAGAAACTTTTTTATGTGCTACGATTGCAATGAACATTTTTGTATAGGTATAATTTGATAACCAATTTAAAGTAATTACAATATATTTGTTAAAAAAAATCGCAAATTCTGAGAAACATCATTTTGCCTAGATTGCAACAACAATTGATATATATATATATGTAGGTACAATATGCTATTCCAAATTGATTACCAGTGTTAAATCTGAAGTTAATATTTGGTATTTGTTAAAAAAAAATCACAGAGAAACATCTGTGTGTGCTAGGATTTCAATAATAAAATGGTATATAAATGAAATATGTTATTCCTAATTCTCCGTTTTAGAATCTAATGCATTATGGGACATATTTTTAAAAGCGTACACCAGAACGTTGTGATTGACTAACAACATCCAAAAAAATTGCAATTCAACCAATGACGTGACGTTGTTTTCATTTTGGGGTACGAACAATGAAATTACCCAGAATGCATTAGATTCTGAAACGACGAATTGATCGCCTATGTAAGAAATCGGCCTTAGACCGCCATTGTTGAAATGGTTGCATTAATACATGATTGAAACTTTTTTTTGTTTCGTACATATATTGATTCTTTCCTGGTGTCAAAATGTATGAAAATTGAAAACATATTAAATGCTTTTCATTGTTTGTATCAGAATTAATTATGTGTTTGTGTGACTCACACAAAAATGTGCAAGCGGGGCCCCTCTTGACATCGGCAGTTTTCTTTCTTTATTTTAAAAAAATGAAAGCTTGAATATCTTTTTTAACTTGTGTACATGCGTCCCTTTGGCGTATGAAGCGTAGGTCATTTTGGGTCTTCAATGTCTTCCAACTCCGTACTTAATTTGGCCTTTAAACTTTTTTAATCAAGCGTCACTAATGAGTCTTCTGTTGACGACACGCGCGTCTGGCATACAAAATGATAAGCCTGGTAACTTTGATGATTTGTTTTTACATAATTTTGCAAGATCTTTGATCGTATAACAAAATTAAGTGTGTAGCCTAAAATACAGTTTCGGATTCTTTTTCTCTCTCCAAAAACTACATGAAAATCAACATCTTCAGTTTCTCTGTTAAAGTCTTCACAACCTATCCATTTGGAAAAAAACAATTATAGTAATAGAAATATCCCCGTAGAACGACGAGTGTGCAAAGTTTAAAGAACGATGCTGTAGAAGATGAGATGCACTTTATGTTGTACAATGTACTGCGCTTATTACAAGACCGAAAGGGACGAACTGTTGATGAATCTCCTGCTACGGAACAACTTGGATCTCACTATCATAAGTACTCGTCAACTTCGATTACTTAATTTTATTTTTAATACAGATACTAAGATTGTTTTTAATACACAATCAACATTGTTAAAACGCGTACTTTTGCTTTAGAGATTGTTTAACTTTATTATCACTCAGAGACGTTTAATATAATGTTCATGTTCTCATATTTGATATGAACTGTACAGGCAGTATAAGTGCTCCGCTAGCCCTGGAAGGCTGGCTGAATATAAAACTGAACTCTTAAATTATGTAAAATTGTCATGAAATCAGGTTGCACTTAGATGATAAATAAATACGTGTACACAATTTTAGGGATCCTCACCTATAGAAATGGTTTAGTTTTGCCAAGTTTTACGACATACTTTCTATTTGCATGACAGTCACTTCTAATTCTTATTTATCGATGCCTTTATAGATTTGCCCATGAATTAACAGAACCAATGTAGTTTTGTGACTATTTCATAGACTCCGACAACAAAAGGTACCAAGCATTTATCTATTCTATGCCCAACTAACGATAGTAGGGGCGTTATGTTTCCCGATCTCTATGTCGTCCTTCTCCTATCAGGTATAAGTTTTGGTTTAATATAAAAATAAGGAGATGTGGTATGTTTGCCAATGAGACAACTTTCAACAAAGTTCAAATAAAGTGGTAAGCAATGATAGGCAACTTACGGCCTTCAACAATGAGAAAAACCCATACCGTATAGTCAGCTATAAAAGGCCCCGACATAAAAAATATGAAGCAATTCAATTGAGAAAACTAACGGCCTAATTTATTACAAAACAATTTACGAAAAAACAAATACGACAGACGTGAAACAACGACAACCACTGAACTACAGGCTCCTGACTTGGGACAGGCACACAAAGAATTTGGCGGCGTAAAACATGTTTGTGAGCACCCAACCCTCCCCTAACCTGGGACAGTGGTGTAACAGCACAACTTAAGAACAAACTATAAAAATCAGTTGAAAAAGGCTTAACTCATCAGATTGATACAAAGAAAAACATCAAACAAAACACAGACAGGACGTGTCAGGGTATACATGCATCCCTCATCCCTAATAACAAAAAAGACACTAAGTACAGATCTGAGAGTACTCGCAGTTACTGACAGCTGGTTCAAAGCCAATAACAACCAACTAATAAAAAAATCATATATCTAAGACTAAATGTTGTCTACAATGAATTTGTAATCACATTAACCTGAAACTTGGTACATAAATTTATTGCTGTGTGGACTTTTTATAAAATATGGCAAATTAGGGTTTGGATTCAGATTTTACGGTTTCTGTACATGGAAATGTGAGAGTATGAGCGTTCGTCATAATGTACATGTATACTGTTTACACCCTTTTATCGGCTATCACTTCGGAAGATACAATACGATCTGTATTCCCTATTGCCATTCAAAACAATTGATTTTGCTATCGCAATGTATCGTGTATAGAAATTTTTATTTCTGACGTTCTAATTTTGCAATCGTAAAATGCAGATTTTGATCCTTAGCCACTATAATTGTATCTGCAGTACCGATAAACGATGATAGGGTGTATTGTTACCTTTTCAACTATTATGTCTTCGTCGAGGTTGTCACCTATGAGTTTCGCTTTCTGCCGAGGCTTAGCACCATCAGCCTGTAAAGGAACGTTTTTACTGTCATTCAGAATATCAACATTGATTTATAATCGTAGTTATGTTACCTTGTTGATGTCTACTTTAACTTTCTCCAAGGAAAATTATCAGTAGAATAAAGTAAAATAACAAAAATACCGAACTCCAAGGAAAATTCAAAATGGAAAGTCCCTTATCAAATGGCAAATCAAAAGCTCAAACACATCAAACGAATGGAAATCAACTGTCATATTCCTAACTTGGTACAGGCATTTCCTTATGTAGAAAATGGTGGATTGAAACCTGGTTTTATAGCTAGCTAAACCTTTTACTTGTAAGACTTATGTCTGTTTTTTTTGTTCACAAATTGTTGTCAATATAATGGAATTTCATTCGACTGTCATACAAGTGAGTGGTTTAGCTAGATATACGACCAGGTTTAATCCATCATTTTCTACATAAGGAAATGCCAGATTTCGATATGGTTAATACGAGGAAAACATTCGATATTATACTTGACGGATATGATTGATCATTTGAACGGATGTAGTATTATGTTAACATCTTGACGCGAAAGAATAATGGAAAAATTTAAAGACAATGTTCAAGTACTACCTTTCGGCTACATGTCTTTTCAAAGACAGTCAGCATACAAAAAATACATCTTGCTTCACTTTTGATACTTTTCTAATGGCTGTAACGTTGTATTCCATGACGTCATAATTTATTACTTTCAAATAAAAAATTTATTAGACAATAATAACATAACAATCAGTATATTAAATTCAATAACACATAGCTGAGAAGGTGAAAGAGCAGAATGTTACTCTTCGTTTGACAATGTTTTCACGGAGTAAAAATGTTGTCTATCACCCTCTTAGCGATTTTGTTTTATATAAAAAAATTAAAACAACACGTTATAAATGTCATGCGCCCGAAGTGCCTTTCTGAATTTACCTTCATCAGGAATGCTCAAAGACGAATATTTGAAAGCCACGGATGTATAAGAACCTAAACAGTTGAAGAGTTATATAATAAAATACAATGACCTATAAAATACTGATAATAACCTGGTGATAATGTCCATTCGTTTCTATTTGCATGGCTTCAACTACATTCTCTAGAGGGTTGTCAGCTGATATTTCCTGGAAACAGTAAAACTATTAATAATAGTAATCAGTGTATACAAACTGCAACTCCTGAAATACCACTGTGACTGTATCTGTCATATATTTCTAATGTAGAATGAAAAATAAACAGACTCTAATTTATAATTTTTGAATAAAATAAGAAAAAAATATATCAAATGTACTGTTTTTATAAATTCATGATACAGATAAACTATGCAGACGGGTTTTCGTCGAGCCCAGAGCCATCTAGATAAGTTTTATTTTCAGAAAACATAATCATCAATGTTGTAAAACTCAAAATAGGTTTTGTCATTCATTTTGTTCAAATTGAATTTATTCCACTATGCTGCTTTCGTTATTCAGCGCATGTTTACTGTCAAATAATGATACCATACTTTTACTATAGGGGTCATTCAGTTGCATTGTATTTGCTGTAGGAATTGAATTTATGTTCATCAAATAAAGTCTTAATAACGTAAAAGTTGCATTTCATGCAAAATATATTCAATATACCAAATCATTTACAACTGGTATGATAAAATTTAATTAACATGTGGAAACGCATGGACAATTCTTACATACACGATTTATGGGTACTAAAATATGTAAAAACGTATGGTAATGGTTCATATAAGAGTAAATAAATAATCATTGATACTATATGCACTGATAATTCCTGTTTATTTTCATAATTGCATGTAGAATAATACATTACTAAAATGTTAACTGCGATGTTAAAAAGTTACATTTGTACCTTCATCTTAATTGAGTTTATTCAATTTCATATTTCTTTTATTGATATATTTTAAAAGTAAATAGATATGAAAACGACATTTCAAACTGTGATTCAATGAAATTAAAGTTGCAATAATATCATAAGTTGTACATTAGTAACAAAACAAGCACATCCGGGTATTAAAATTGAGGCCAAAATTGAGGGTTTTGTTTTGCGTCCGTTGCTCGTAGGTATTTGATGATCTAAGGTCAAAGCTAACAAACAAATATTCGAAAAGATCTCTTGAAATAGAAAATTAGGATTTTAAGGGGACATTTAAAGATTAACTACATGTAAGTCCTAAATCTTTATGTGGCTCAAACTGTACACGCAGAGAGGATTTAAGTTAATCAGGATGTGAAATCATTTTATTTGATAACAAATAACTACTTTATTTCTTAAGCAATATCAAATATTACATCGTTTGAGAAATGGTTTTACGTGCTGTGAATTTACAATTGGGTTCACAGACATCAATGTACTAACTATTTTATGTATAAAGGAACATCAAAATGTTTCATCGTTTGCGAAATGGTTTGACGTGCTTCAAATCAAATGTTGGGTTCAGAGACATCCGTTTACTAACTACTTTTTTTCTGAAGAAACATCAAAATGTTTCATCGTTTGAGAATGGTTTGACGTGCTGTAAATCTTACATTGAGTTCTTCGACATCCGTGTATTTTAAAAATATACTCTAGATGATAAAGAACATTGAATCGTAACAGGGGTGATGTATACTTTCAAATGATCGAAAGATTTTCAAATGTAATACATGTATATGTATATTCCAAAAAGAGGTTACGATAGAAAGGGTGTAATAAAAACCCATAAGTCTAAAAAAAAAAAAGACTTTAGCATGGTAAAAGAAAAACGACGAAAAAACAAACCAACATCTTCAAAAAACACCATATAGACCATTACAGATTTTGCATCACGAGTCATATGAGAACAGTGGGTGAAACACAGGTGCTTTGTACTTGTTAGCAGTTTTTGGATAATAAGTGAAAACCGTCGTTTTGCTCATAAAATTATCTGATTCATAATGAAACTTCTTGATGGTAACAACATTGTTTTTGTTCCACTGTTATCGTGACGACCATACGTTCATAATTTGATCTATATTGGAAAAGTGCAAATAACTGTGAGTTGGTTATTGTATTGATAAAAAAAAAATTTTTTTCGTAACGATAAACGAAATAAACTGATGTTCACGAATCACATTATATTTCTTTTCTAATTATAACGACGAATCACGATAAGGATAACTTGACGAATCATGATACAAATTTCATCAAGTCGACGTTAACGATTTAAAAACTATTTAACGTCTGACGGTAAAACGCATTCCTACCCCCATGTACGTTTTAAATGTAAATGAATTTCTGTTTCTGTCGATGCAGTTGGAAGAATAATACTTTTGAGTATTTTGCATAGTCTTAATAACTGATAGTAGTTATCTGAGACCCATGAAAAATCCCAACTAGACGTGTTTCATGTATTCGATTTTTTTAAAATTTTAGTTTATATTTAATTGGTAGGGTGTGAGTCCTTGGAAAATATAAACATGCATATATCCTTTTTCAGTATGTGTCGCAATAAATTTAGAAGTTTCTATAAATGTACAAGTTTAGTTCAATGCTTCCGAATCAAGTAGTAAGTTTTAAAATACCATGTGATATGGTATTGCATGTTAATAATAATACTTTACAGTTACCTTTGGATGTTCTAAATAATATTTTTCACTCTTACGATCTTTATTCGTCCTCGGTGTTTGACGTTGAATATTTTCTAACTCTAGATGACGCTTTCTTTCTCTTAAAAGTTTGCGTTTATTTTCTGGAACAGGTTGGAGCTTAAGGCTTAAATTTTCAATTTGCTTCTCCTCTAGGTTGGCATTTACTCTTTGTAGTACTTCTTGCATTCTACGTAAATCTTGGTTTTTCGGGTTTGAAAATTTTTTCTTTTTTTCTTGCTAGAAATAGAAAAAAAACAATAGAATTCACATTTAAACCCTTAAAATATTACCTCCTTATTTCCCTTTTTCAGTCAAAATATTAATTTTTGAAAGAAAAAAAAAAATTATTCATTTTATTTATTTGAAAGTTAATTCCTGCAGCACTGTAGTTAGTTTAAACCATCCTTAGTGCGATTCAAAGTAATATCAGAAATTAATAGGGCTTTACAAACAATTCAATTTGCAATTTTAATTGATTCGAAACTGGGGCGCTAACTACCGAACTATAACAATCTACTATATTAATGCAGAAAACGACCATATGCATATCATGCATTGATGCAAAACAATGCTGTTGTACACATTGAATAACCAATCTGATTAAACATGTTAAATGCAGATCCTGTGTTAGCATTTTGCTTAAACGTGATTAAAATACATATTTTGTGTCCGCGCTTTGTTTTCGAGTGATTGAAAAATACAGATTATGTATCCGGACTCTGCTAACAACAATCTAGCAAGACTCCGTTCTACTCTCTGTTCTGGTAATTTCTTCAGCCAATGAAATATTTGCTTTCAAATTTTGAAAGGTCTGTCTCATTACGACAAAAACCGACCATTTCAAAAGGCTTTTTTCAACAAAAAGTATAACAGGGTGTTATCAGATCCTTGTGAAGCGTAGACAAAGGATCTGTATTTCATTCAGATAATGAACAAAACAACCAACAGTGCAGTATCTTCGAAACTTTATATACAGGTACATACACAAAGGGAAAAAGATAACAAAGGGAGAATTAAAAATAAGAGATGATTTGAAGAAAAAACAAACAACATCATAACTAATAGAAGAAAAGACAAAGAGAAAAAAAGTCAATAAAAGCGGACAGTCTAAACCCATAATTCGACAAAAAACAGACAACACCATGGCAAAAAGAAAAACAACAAGCACTCCACAGAACACCACACGAAAATGAAGCAAAAACAAAATCCCATAAAAAACACTGGGTAGAACTCGTGTGCTCAGGAAAGGTGTGCAGCTTCTTCTTCAATATAGGAGGAATATATGTCGACTTTTATGTCAGTGATATAATTTGTATGACTTACTTCTTCTTTTGCATTGTATCCTTCCCTCTCCTTTATTCTGTATACATCATGAAGACTTCGAATATCATTTCTTCTGTCAAATTTTGCTAAAATTAAAATAGAATATACCTAAAACATAGTTTATGTCAGGTCTTGGTAATTGGTGCGATGTACAGCGTAAATATATATGTATATTGAGGACGCTGGTTAATATGATATGTAGATATACCCTGTTTTGTAATAAACAAGCACGTTACATTGGATTATTTTAAATCGGTGAGCTGAAAACATGTATGCTGCCGGACAAATTATTCGGACTCCGAACCGACTACTACAGTGGAGATCACTTCTAACCTCTCATAAAATCTGTCAGAATCTGTCAGGAGAACTGTTCTCGGACAGTATGTAGAACTGTCATCCTGATTCCTTTTAGAAAGTACTAGCTAGAACAGTTCTAACCTAGAACTGATTTGGTCAGTTCTACATAGAACTGATTTAGACAGTTCTACCCTAGAACAGTTTTAGACAGTTCTACGACAAGAACAGTCCTACGATTAGAACTGATTTGGTCAGTTATACGGCTAGAATTGATTTAGTCAGTTCTATCCATAGAACAGTTTTAAGAACTTTTTGTCTTAAATATAGATAAGTCAAACGAATATATATTAAAAAATTGCAGTGACGTCATTCAGAACTGTTCTACAATCCTGACAGGTTTGGTCCGTTCTACGGCTAGAACAGTTTTAGACAGTTCTGCTGACAGTTCTACGGTTAGAACTGATTTAGTCAGTTCCACTGACAGTTCTACGGTTAGAACTGACTTGGTCAGTTCTGCTGACAGTTCTACGACTAGAACTGATTTGGACAGTTCTACGTAGAACAGTTTTAGACAGTTTTACACTATAACTGATCCTGCCAGTTCTACCTAGAACTGATTTGGTCAGTTCTACCTAGAACTGATTCTGACAGTTCTAGGTAAAACTGTTCTAGGACAGTTTAGAACAGTTCTATGACAGATTATTCTGACAGTTCTAATGAGAGGTTAGAAGTGATCGCCACTGTATATGCTCTTTTTCCTACAAGGCACATGTCTAGTAAAGAAGCACTCTATAAAGTTTGTGCATATGTTCATTTAAAAAGATGTGTGATATACGTAAGTTAGACAGTAACAATCGACAAAAATAATCATGAGTCAAATAAAGAGTGCAACGTTCAGTTTATATATTATTTGTTTAATATTAACCCTTTTAGCTCCTTCGGGATATTCATTGTTTAGTAGATTTTATGAAATAAAATAAAGTTTTATTTAATCCCGCAACATGTTCATGTGCGTGTAACAGTAATGCCATTGGGGGAATTTAGTTTTGATTGCAATCTATAATATTCTCTGCTAAATTTACATATAGCTTGTTTTAAGACTCTGGGCGATTTAGGGGGAAAATTTAATGTTTATGGCCACCTTTGATATTCAAATTTATTCAAAGCTTTTCAGAATCTGAGGCAATTTAGGTGACGACCATTTGATTGGGGAGGGGGATTGATATGTAGGCCTGGTAAGAACTGAAAATAATAAAAGAAATAAAATGTTGCCCAAGATAGACTGAAAATAAATATCCTCTCCGACAAATTGCAGAAAACAATTGTTTAAAAAACTGATCACAACATGTAGCATAGATGTGCGAAACATATATAATGCAGTATAACAACAAGTGATATATGCGAAAACTCCTCCCGACCCATCCCCATCAACTTATCGTTACTTAAGAGCTTGACTTGCTAATTTTTTTCAGACCGTATTTTGACCACTTGATATCTTTTTCTTTGTGCCGTTAGGTTGTTGTCGTCCCCTTTACGTATACCCAACATGTCCTTTCATTCATAGTTATTACTGTAAACATTTGGATGAAGGTATACAACGAAAAAAACATTGTTTTGTTGTTTTTTTTCGGGGGGGGGGGGGGGGGGAGGGAGGGGGGGCGGTATGTAAGTTGAACGATTTTTGTCGTGTTTTTCTCAATAAGAATTGAAATTTACATTCCAAATCGGACTTTATCAGTCCTTTTTGTGAAGGTTGACAAAATGTTTTAGATTTCAATCCTATATAGACCTAGGAAACACAGGGGCCTTATCGAGGCTACCCATTTCGATCCAAACATTGTAGTAACAGGTAATGTTTCAGCATGATGGTACCAAGGATTAGTGAATTATTTAAAAAAAACATGCGTAAAATAGACGTTATTTCCTGACACTTAATATTTCAACATTCTGAGTCTCTACTCTTACACAGTTCTCTCTTTCCGTTTAAGTTTTTAGCCAAGAAACAAGCGGTTTTAGGTCAATAATGATGTTAGTAAACAAATCAATCTTTTGGCAAACAATCAGTATGATAAATTCCCACCATGACCATAGGCTCATTCAGTGTACTGTAAAAAATCATGTAACACGTGTACTTCAGACAGCACAAAATCAGCCATGAAAACTAGTTATTCTAAAAAAAACATATGAAATATATCTTTCATTGTACTGGCTTCATTCTTGCTCATCATTCATTAAGAGTATATCAATTTGTTTCATAAATGATATATCAGTCACTGCATTCCCCCAAGCACTTATGGTAACAAGTATAAATATGATATTAAATCTCAGAGAAAGCGTGCTAAATCAATAAAAAAAAATCACCGTATCATTTATTTGGCATGCGCGCTAAACTACTTACAATGAACAACACGATTTTAAAGATTGAAACACTATATAAAAAAGTCTTTGAGAAAGGTAAAAATGGAATATAAAACAATCAAGAATGAAACAAACAACGATAAAAGACATAATTGTTCCCTTTTCACAAAATTGCTCGAAATCAAGACCATTTTTGGGCGAAAAAAGGAAGGTATTTTTCAATTGATTTCAAACTGTATTGACAATAAACTAAAAGTTATTTACGCATAATAATTGTTCTCTTTCAAACATAGAAATCCGGACCAACAAATTTGTTCTATGGTGTAAAATATCAGTTTCCAGTAATCTTAGCTAACCTCTTAAAATATCGCATGGACGAATGTTTCCCTAAAATAGTTTTAATAAATAAATAGACAAATAAATGAATAAATAAATGAATAAATAAATAAGTAAATATATTTAAATAAATAACACACATGCAATAATTTAAAATTTCCGCTATATATGTTCTATGTTATGTCACTAGAAATACTAAAGTTGCAACATATTGTAATTTCCTTACTTAAGGATGTAGTCATGTCAGGTTTAGGAATTTTTGTCAGATATTCGGTCTCCTTGGGTTTTTTCCTACGATACAGGGTAAAATATTTTGCTCAATATCACCCACTTTTCTTTTCATATAAGACTTCAATAGCTAATAAAAGGTTAAGTACCAAAATTTAAGCAGATTCTAAATTTCTTTTCTTACGATTTGAGACCCAAATAATGTCAATGCTAAATATAAGGTTACAGTCCGAGTTAGTCTTTTCCCGCCATTCCGTTTTAAATCAAATATCTCGAAAAGGAGTTCCATAACCTATCAATATGTTCAGCTTACTTTGTTTCTTAGCTAATGATATTGTGACTTATACCATACATTTATTCATTCTTACCTTCTTTCCAAGACAATGCATTTGTCAGTGGTATTAAAACGCAACAGAGATACAGTGGTAGCATCTTGATACTTCCGGCAGAAAGTCGACAAGATGAATGTGGTTTATTGGAATATGTATATATATATACACACGAATCTTTTTTGGTTGACTACAGACGAGTGATTCCTATACCCGGATTCGTTGAACTACATTAACAATTTGTACTTTTAAAGTTTAAAGAAACTTTTAAATGCATTGAGACACACCCTCGAAAACGGATATGAGCATGTTTGTAAATATTAGCCAAGGCTCCCACCCTAACAAATAAATAGAAACTAAAATTAAAATAAAAATAAATAAATAAAACATGTGACTGCAAACAGCTATTAAGATTTTGCAAAAAAAAAAACCAACATCATTATTCTACCAACTGCATCGACAGAAACAGAAAATCACTGGTTATTGTCAAGGAATCCAGAATGAAAGGGTCGACAGCATGCATTATTTACGATTGATAAATGACAGAAGTGTGAAAATAATTACATATGAAATGTGAAAAGCCACAATGTTTTTTTTTCTCTCTCGGGCATTTATATCTTTAATTTTGGTAAATAATCTGAACAATGAACCATTTCTATTTTAAAAAAGTTAGCAACTTAAAACTTGATTAAACATCAGTTCAAATGATGAAATTCCTGGTCAAAAAAGGTGCTATCCTTTCTGATCAATATGGTTCTTAAATTACTGTATGCAGTATATTGATTTCCATGCATTTAGTCCAATCATTATAAATACTTGCATGTGTAGCTAAATAGACATGACATGTTTTAGTTATTTAGATATAGGATTAATTAATTTGGCGTTGTTAATATTTGAAAACCTGCCAGTCAGCCAGAGATAAACAAATTAAACATGGCATCGCGTAGACTTTAACGCCAATTGTTGACATCAGATATATTCTTGTTTTAAAAATGTATGTCGCAATTTATTTGTCCCTGGAGTTGATAATACTGCACATTAGTATATAACGTTTCTTTTTTGAGCCAAATAATGATTTAGGAATTGTTATACTTAATGCTCAAATGTCTCCTTAAAAAACATAATTTTCTTATTTCAAAACATCTTTTGAAATATTCATTTGTTTTATTTTGACCTTAGATTATCAAACACCTACCAGCAAAGGGACGTGAAACGACAAAAACTAAATTTTAGCATGAATTTTAATACACAGATAACTTTGGCCAAAATTTGAATATACGGGTGTCATTGTTTTGTAGCTAATGTGCAGCTTATCATATTGCACTTTTAGTTCCATTGTTTAACAGTTTGAAATGTTATATTCATCTCTATTAACTTTTAAAAGATACAAATAAAAAAGATATAATATTGAATAATTTTTATTAAAATACAGGTAACTATTTAAAATCACAGTAGACATTTTAGTAATTTATTATTCTACATGCGAGTTATGAATAAAAAAGGAAGTAAGAGTGCATATAGTAGCAATAATGAATTTCAACTACCACATACAATCTAGAAAAAAAACTTCAAAGCGTAATCACGATAATTTTTAAAAACTGATGTTTATTTACCCTTATATGAACCATAACTTTACGTTTTTACACATTTCACAAAATGTTTTAGTACCCATAAATCATGTACGTAAGAATTTCCCATGCGTGTCTATATGTTAATAAAACTGTGTCATAACAGTTGTAAATTATTTGGTATATTTTTTTTCTCTTTCAGAATCAGTCTATACTATCTCTTTTTCCAAATTTGTTTTATTTTCAAACACGATATTCCCTTTTCTAATTTCTAAAAAGAGGCTCATGGTCAGGTCACCGCATACAGAAAAGTTGTAGTCGAATTAGGGTACGGGAAAACACTAATTTGAAAGCAGTACAGTTTTGATAATGTTGATAATTTAAACGTTTTCCTTTTAACAGAATGTCTATATAGACGTGTTATATAGTACAACTTGGTCATTTAAGTATATAAAAAATATTCATCTTTTTTGTTGAAACTGAAGCATCATATGACTTAAATTGTATTGTTTGAATATCGTAGAGCTTTCTATTGTTTTCTATTACAAAATGATGTCAGATATTCAATTATTACCACCTTTGTGTTTTAAAATATTGAAATGTAGTGATTAGTCAAATTATCCTTATCGTGATTCGTATGTAGTCTCAATTTTTCAACCGTTATTGGAGTAATTGAAAAAATAGATATATCATGATCCATGAAAACTAGTTGGTTTTTTTATATCGTTATAAAGAAATGATTATTTTTTTTGGCACATCCGTACAATTACGTACAAAATACTACAAAGGTATATCAACTTTTACAATATAGCTCAAATCATGAATGATAGGTCGTCACGATACCAGTGGAAGAAAATATTTTACCATAAAAAGGTTTAAGTCAATTTAATTCATATGAAGCCGATGATTCAATGAGCAACACAACGGTTGTCAATAATTAAGCAATACTTGCGTACGAATACAAAGCACATGAGTTTCACCCACTGTGTTAATGTGACTCGTGCTGCTAAATAAGTAATTTTCGATGTGGTGTTTTTGTGAACTATTGTTTGTATTTTCTTATTTTTTCTATTGGTCATGGGAAAGTATTTTGTCTTCGTTTTATGAGTTTTGATTGCCTCCTCTCTTCTATCGTCTCCTCTTATTTGGAGTAAACATATACATGTATTACATTTGAAATTAATTCGAACATTTCAAAGTATAGACCACCCTTGTTTCGTTTGATTATTCTCAAGCATTTAGAGTATCTTTTAAAGTACACAGATGTGTGTGAACTCAATTTAAAATTTTAGGCACGTCAAACCTTTTCTTTACCGATGAAACATTTTGATGTTTCTTTAGAAATAAAGTAGTTAGTACACGGATGCATGTGAACCCAACTTCAGATTTAAAGCACGTCAAACCATTTCTCAAACGATAAAATATTTTTATATTTCTATATACATAACATAGTTAGTAGACGGATGTCTGTGAACCAAATTTTATATCAGTAGTACGTCAAACCACTTCTCATACGATGAAACATTTTGATATTTGTTTAGAAAACAGTAGTTATTTTCAATCAAATAAAATGATATTACATTATTATTAACTTTAATCCTCTCTGCGGGTATAAAATCAGGCGCCGATTTAGTCAACACTGTTGAATTTAAGGAGCTCCTGAATTATTTCAGAACCTTCGTAATTCAAATTCAGATTAACCATAGATCATTGACTCCCAAAATATTTCAGGACCACCATAATTAGTTTTTTGTGATATCTGAAACATTCAAGAGGTTCCGTTTTTTGATTTCATGGAAGTTTTTCAGGACCTCCATTCGATTTTAGGACCTCCACAACTCGATTTCAAGGTCCTGAAATATTTCAGAACCTTCACAAATTACTGGTCAACATTACGCTTTATGTCTGAATATCTTGCATAATATTAGAGTTCAACGATACTATAGTTCTGGACCTCCACAATTCAATTTCAGGATGTCCTTAATTGTTTATGAAGGTTCATAATTTTTTTCAGGACCTCCACATTTCGAGAAGTTGGATGAATTATTACAGAAATGAGATTGAGTATTTTTTACAATAAATGTAATTGTTACGCAATCAAACTTTATTTGATGAAAACTAATTTAATTCCTATGAAAATGCACCGCATATACAATATAAATAAATTGCCCCTATAGTGAAAATGAAATATTGTATCATTATTTGAGAGTAAACATGAGCCTCATAAAGAAAGCGGCATTGTGGAATTTATTCAATATCAAGAAAATGAATGAAAAAAAAACTTTATCTTATAATAAGTCATACAACATTGATGATCATGTTTTTTTAAAATGAAACTTACCTGTTGCTATTAAATCTCCTGCACGCTCTATTCATGAAATGCTGTGGACATTTTCATTTGGAGGCGCAAACGACATGATGCATGGAAATTGAATGATTAGCCCAACGAACCCCTGTTTTTTCATGGCGAAAAAATGTGTTATTCTCTTCAAAACTTATTACCATGTTTTATTGGGATGTATTTAGGACGCTCAAAAAATGTTCATGATTTGTCAAATTTTAACCGAACTAATTCGTAGACTCCATATTACAGTTATTTCCCCTTTTGAATTGACATAAGTGATATGTAAATGTATCACAAGGTCATGTTCTAAATTTTGACTTTTCATTGTTCCGAGATCTCGTCTGACAATCTTAGATTGATATTTAAAAGAACTAGTGCAAAATGTTTGCCTCATTCTGATGAAGATATGATACATTTGGTCTGAAACAATCCAATGACTTCTTATAGGAGTTATTGTCCCTGAAAAGAATACATTTTAGGTTAATTGATTACTTGTTCAACTTGGTACATGATAAAGCCATAGGGTCTTTTGCTAAATGTTGACATATGACCTGGAAAAATGTCAACCGGAGGTGACCTTGAGTAAACCGAAATTAGCCATTGTTGCACTTATTTCATTGAAAAGTACCTAGAAACTATATATTTTTTAAATATGCTTACATCAATCTATCATTTGAGACCGGAAGTGACTTTCACTAAACCAGAAGTACCTAATATCTCCCTTATTACAGGCAAAAGTATATATAAACCATATATTTTTGGAATCAGTGTAAATAAAGCTATCATGTGAGACTGGAAGTGACATTTTTAAAACCGGACGTTGACAAGTATCTTTCTTATTTAAGGCAAAAATATATAGAAACATCTATTTATTGAATCAGTATGAAGAAACCTATGTGTGGACGCCAATAGTAACTTTGAGTAAACCACAAGTAGCTTCTCATCAATAATTTAGAAAATTGATGTGGAAAGACCTTCAATTGGTCTCTGAACAATTGGTTTTTAATTCCTTGTTTGTTTTCATTGTTCAACTACAGGTTATTACGACAATCTGGATGAATCTAAAACAAAACTTCTCCACTTTAATGAACAACGTGTACAACTATCCCCTATACCTATGCCGGACCTATTGCGTCCAAAAATTGCAACTACAAACATGCGTTGCAGAATTTCAAAAAGTAGCCATTTTAAGTCTTAACAACCTGATGGCATCTGTGTAACTTCCAC